CGAGATGGCCACACGGTGGTGCTGCAGGCTAGCCCGGCGGCTGCCCCAACACCGACACCCAGGGGCCGGCCGGCTCCCCACCCCGCACCAGCACCCCGCACCCTGGCACCAGGCAGCCAGCGCTCTGCACTGGCACCAGCAGGCAGTGGCCCCTGTGGGTCCTTGCAGGACGGTGGGTCCAAGACCAGGCGGGGTGGGGTGGGGGGTGTAGGACCCGCCATGCATCCGGCTCAGCTGGGAGAAGCCCCATCTGTCCACTCACTCATCCGCCCACGCCTCCCTCTCTCCCTGCACCCTCCCACTCGCCCACCCATCCCCCACCCGCTCAGGCCCTGCTCTGCGTGCCAGGGTCCCTGCCGCCATGGTTCACGTATGGTGGAGGGACATTGGGTCCGTGGTCAGGACAGGCTTTTTTGAGGAAGTGGCATCTGATCTCAGGAGCACCCTAGGGAGAGGGAGTGAGGGGACCGTGTGGGGACAGTGGGTGTGCAGGCGGGGACAGGAGGCTGCTGGCCCCGACTGGGGAGGGGCCGGTCTCACCTGCAGTTTGAGAGGTGCCCCGGCTGCTCTGTGTGGGAGAAGGGGTCACGGAGGGGTCGCCCTGCGGAGGGGCAGTGGAAGGCACTGTGTGGAGGGGTCGAGGCCAAGCGGCCGGGTGGGGGGCGGTTCAGAGACGATGGCAGCCGACACTCCAGCCCACACCACCCCTTGGGCCTCACGGCAGCCTTGTAAGGGGACTCGGGGAAACCGAGGCCAGAGGAGTTTGTCACCTGCCCGGGGTGGAGCTCGGATTCCAACCCCTGGTTTTGGGGGGAGAATGGGTGGCTCCAGACCCCTGCTGCAGCTGCCGTGGCCTGCAGGGGTGACAGTGACCTGACCCGGGCGTGGGGAGCAGACAGGGTGACACACGCACCTGGCCCGGGCAGGGTGCGGGGCCGGCTGAGGGGAGCCGTGGGGGTGGGGTGCAGAGCCGTGAGTGGCTGTCACTCAGCCGGGTGGTCCCCTCGCCCACCGCCAGTGTGTAACGATGGAACGTGGCAGGTGACGGCACTTCCGAGACTGGGTCATGAGAGCCACGGGCTCCGCCTTGGCCGACAGCTGACAGCAGCCCCGGGGGAGACGTGGAGCCTGGACTCCGGGCCTCTGACCGATGACGAGCACCTGCTGCTGCTGCGCTCTGGCCGTGGTGACACCTAGTGGGTGACGCACACCCTGTAGCCGCCCACCCTGAAGTCAGTGCTCAGAAGTGGCTTCGCCACCCCAGGGCTCGGCCATCACCAGGCTCACCACATGGCGTCCTGCGGTGCCGCTGATCCCAGGGCCCGGTGGCTTGGTGTCCCCCGCAGCGCTGGGCCCTGGGGCTGCCTGGCCTGGCCCGACCCCTTCTGCGTCATGTCTTGGCCTGGCCTCCTATGTCCTGGCCTTGTCTCTGCCTCCCTCCTGACTCACAGGGACCCCAGACCCGTTTCCCACCAGCAAAGTCCCGATCCGCACGGGACTGACCCGGACACACGCCAGGCCACACGCTCTGGCGTCATTCTGTCTCTGTCCTTCTCAAGTTGTCGTTAAGGTCACGACACACGGTTCACCATCACCAGTGGCCACAGTGCATTCACGACATTGTGCCACCACCAGCTCCAACCTTGCCGTCACCCAGACGGGTCAGGTGTGGCCGATCCCCAGGACGAGCAGGTGCGGGGCACAGGGGGTGCCTTTCGTGCCGTCCTGGGGACACGAGGCCCAGCCCTCCAGGTGGAGGCCCAGGAGGCCGTGGCTCCGAGAAGCAGGAGCAGAGGCTGGAACCGCCCTCCGGGGCGTTCCCATGGACGCTGCCCATGCCCAGGTGCCACCGGACACCACCGGGCTTGGGAGCAGACGAGACTGGGACCTAAGTTCTCTCTATAGCCCCAACCCGCCTCGCGAGGCCTCCACCTGCCAGGACCCACAGGGCTCATGGGGGGCCTTGCCCCTCCCTCCTGGGCCTGGGTCTCCTCCCGCTGCGGGGAGAAGGCGGCTGCGGCTCGGTTCCTAGCGAAGCACTGACGTCAGGGCTGCAGGCTGTCCCCTGGGGTGTGACGGTGAATAAAGGGCGGAGAAGAAAGGGTCCGCCGGGGCTGACCCGCTTGCTCCTGGCTCCCACCTGTGCTTTCCCCGGGGCGCCCGTCCCCCACCCACCCAGCGCCACTGATCGCCCTCCAGCCCCGCCGCCCACCCTGCACGTGGCGGGGCTGCTGGCTTGGCCCCTCCACGAGGGGGCGCTGGGGCCACTTCTCAGGCCACGTGGGCCCTTGGCCAGCCTCTAACTGAATGTGAGAAGCAGAGTCACCTTGAGAGGCCAACCCCTGGGGCCCCGTCCGAGAGGGGCACCTGCTGAGCCCCCAGGCCGACGGTGTGGTCAACCTGAACTGCCTTTCCCCAGACGCGCTCTGCGGGCCTCCTGCCTGGGCCTGGGATCGTGGCTGTGCGCACCCACGCACGCGCACGCGCACGCGCACACCGGGGCCCTGTGCGGACAGGTGGCAGCCGGGCCTTGTCACCCGGTGAACGTGTGTTTTTACACCTCCTGTGTGCCAAGGTCCTGAGATGCCACAGCCTATGGGACATTTCCTGGATGGTCCTGAGCAGAGAATGACCGATCCAGGAGAGACTTCGAGCTGCAGCTGCCACACGTGACGGCTCCTGTGACCGACGGGACAGAGCTTCGCTGTCGGACGACCCCACGAGGTGCCCTGGAGGAAACTCCTGTCCCCTCTCTTCAGCTGTCCTGGATCCTTGCCTGCAGCCGGCAGGGGCCATCGGGTGCAGCTGGGCTGTCTCTCTGGGTCCTTCTCCAAGGCCATGTGGGGCCAGCCAGCAGCGGGGTGGGGCTGGGCCCGGGAGAGCGAGCTGGCCCGGCTCAGTCCCTGCGGCTCCCCTGCGGCCAGCTCCTGCCACGTGTCCATCTTTCATTTTTACGAGCCCTCGATTTGTACTTAAGTCCCGGTGACAGAAAAATTGATGCTAATAGGGAAAATATTACTCTCTCCACTGGAGCGTGCCGGGCACAGCCGTGTGAAGGCTGCGTATTCTTCTTGTTTAAAACAAACCGTCATTTAATTCGGGGGTTCCAACTGCTTAGACCCCAGGTTTCCATGGTGATGGCTCCCTCCCCTCCTCTGAGCAGGTGCTATGCTGGCGGGCTCAGGAGGGCAAAGCCATGGCCCGCCAGCCCTCCTGCCCCTTCCAACGCCAAGGACAGGGACAGACATCTTCCTTCCCGCCCCAGCGTCCACCCGCCTCCTCCTGGCCGAGACCCCTGGCATTGGGGCCCTGCTTGGTGGCCATCTTTGCCTGGGGTTTACAGACAGAGGGAGTGGACGGCAGGGTGAAGCCCCGAGAGATGACCCCACCCTCGTCCTGGGAGCTGTGGCTGTGCTGGGTCACCTGACCAGCGGGTTGGAAGTCGCAGATGGCGGTCAAGATGCTCATCGGCCGGCTGATGTGGGAGAGTGTCCTGGATTCTCCAGTGGGCCTGGTGTCATCACGGGTCCCTGAGAGAGTGAGGGGGCAGAGCCTATCTCAGGGTGACACGATGAGGGGGACGTGGTGCCATCGCCAGCTTTGAGAGGAGGAATACGGGCGATTTTAGAAGCCGAAAGACCAGGAAACGGACTCTCCCTGGAGGGCTCGGGAGAGACCTTCTGACGCCTTGTTTCAGCCCAGCGAGGCCACACGGACTGTCCAGATGGTGAGAGTGAACGGACGGGGCGACTTGCGGTAGCAGCATGGATGCTAATACAGGGCTTCGCCGGTCTGGGGCCCGAGGGCCTGAGACCCGGCCTCCTTCTCCCTGAGTGACACCCGGGCCCCCGAGCCCTGGCCACAGCCCCCCCGGCCTCCCTCTGGCCTCCGTGTGCTCAGCCAGGATGGCTCCTGTCCACCTCAAAGACCTTGTCTGGAGCCTCCCGGGTCCTTTCCTGCCCTAGTTCACGTCCGAGCCCGTGTCCCCATGGCACGGGCATGGGGGACGAGGAGCCACGCGAAGCAGCCAGGAGCCCTCAGCTCAGTGGCACTGACCAGAGGCAGCAGGTGGGGGTTTTGCCAGGAAGCCGACAAGTCCGTCACAGTGGGCCATGGTGGTGACGGGCCCCTCCCCCGGGTGACGTGGCACAGGCCCATCCCTTCGCTTCTCTTTGTCCCCCTTTGGGGCTGGTTGGCATAACCTGTTCCTGGGGTGCTGCCCAGCCCCCATTTCTTGCCACAGGGTGGTGACAAGAGCCTGTCCCCAAGCCAGCTCTAGGAAGCCACACCTGAGGACCCCTCGACTACCACTTGCTCTGCAGACCTCTGACTAGCGTCTTCGGGACCCGTCCCTGGGACTGAGGGGCGGTGGGCCTGGGGCTGCAGTGGGGGGCGGCCCACCTCGAACCTGGAGCCTTTGCAGAGATGGTACGGGGCCGTGTAGGGGCGGTGAGGGGGCCCCAATGTGGAAGGCCCGTCCGGGCCGGGGGCGGGGAGGGGCGGCACGCGGGCTGCGAAGACGGACCTGTGTCCCCGAGCCTTGGGAACGGGCAATGACGGGCACTGGGTCCATCCCCGAGCGTCGGGAATGGAAGGCAGGCGGCCGGCCCCGTGACTCCTCCGTGCTGGCCCGTCGAGGCTCGTGTCCGACTTCTAACTGGAAGGTGATAAATCTGGGTCACTTCCACAACGAGGTAAGTGGCGTGGGAGTCCCCGTGGAGCTGGGGCGCAGAGACGCGGAGTCAGGCGGCTCCTTCACCGTGTCGGCCGGATGCCAGGTTTGGGGGCTTTCTGGGTAAGTGGGGTACCTGTCCACATGGCGTGGGGGCTGGCCGACAGCGAGAGCCGCCCCAGAGCGCACCCTCCTCCCGGGCCCTGGGGGGCCGTGTCAGCACCTGGCCGTCCCAGAGGGACCTGGGCACCGCGTCCCCGGGGTCCCCCCCACACCACTGAGGCCCAGGTGCTATTTCCGCAAAAAGCGAAGCTGCCGGCCGGTCACCTCTGCACGTGTTTTTAGTCACAATTTATTGTCTGTCACTGCTCTCATGTCCACGTTACATTACAATCCCACGTTTTGTCAGAGTCTTTTCAATTCTCATTTTGGTAAAATAAATAGAGATACGTGACCCTTCTGGGCGGGCTTGCGAGCCCTGGTCAACTTCATGATTGAGTTTCCCGATCAGACCCGTGAAGATGGCCCACTGTGCCAGCGATGGTTTTGTCTGGACAGACGGAACCGCGTGTGGGCCTCGAATCCGGGCGGAACTGCTCTGAGGCTTGGACGCTCTCGGCGTCTGTGGGTGGAGCTCAGCTTCCAGAAGGCTCCAGGTCACCGCCTCGAGCCTCGTGGAACTGACGGGCACCATGCAGGAGAGCAGACTTGCCGACCCCACACGGCCCTCTGACCCAGGACACCCGGAGCCGCCAGAGCGCGGGGCGGGAACCCGTCCCAGGAGCTGCTCCCGTGGGAGCACGCAGGTGCCACAGGCAGCATGGGACGCCCCCCGCGCCCTGCCCCGTCCAGCCCTGGCCGAGGCAGCACCGTCGTCTGCACCACAAGGGAACCCGAGCTTCCGTCCCGGCCTGACTGTCCCCACGCTGAGCCACCTCCCTCCTCTATTCTGAATGATCCTGATTCCCAAAGAAAATGGAAAAAATGCTTTTCAAACATCATCACTGTGATTGTGTTTTGCTTTCCGAGCGCTGTGGGTCTGTGACTGCTCAGCACACTCCCTTGGTCCTTCCTGGGGCCAAGCTGTCCCCACGGCTGCTCAGCCCTGCACTCGACACGCAGAGGCCCACGTCTGCACACACCCACGTGGGACACACACCGGTGCCCAGATGTGTGCTGCAGCTCGCCAGGAACCTTTCTGCATGACCCACGGCGAGATGGGGCCTCGGGCGCCGGCGTGCGGGGATGGGCTGGCGACGCGTGTGTGCGGTGGGTGTGACGCGTGTGCAAGCACAGGCGAGAAGCCGAAGGGCCGCACGCGTGTGCGGACACACAAGGAGATCCTGGGGCCTGGGTGGCTGTCACTGTGCCTGCCCAGCAGAGACCAGCCCGGTGGCCTCAGACTGTGGCTGAGCTGCCAGGGACCTGTCTCGCTGTCCGAAGCCGCAGGCCCCTCCTGCTAGTGGACCTGTGGTGAGGGGGCGCAGGCCCGGGTCCAGGGCCACCCCCGTGCGGGAGGCCTGGGTGCTGGCTCCCCTGTCCGCTCCGTGCTCCGTCTCGAAGCCCCAGCCTCCCCCAGCACACACGCAGGAGGACGTGGCCCGGGCTCGGGCGGCCCAGGGCCCTGCCGTGTGGCCGAGCGCTGGGGGAGCCGGCGTCCGTGTCCAAGCTTTCGCGGGGCTCACGCGTGGACCACTCGCAAGGTGAGAGGGGTGCGTCCCTCCCTTTAAAACTCAGGAGAGGAACAGCACGGGGAACGTACGGGACGGATGGTGGCTGCGTCCTCGGCCTGGAAGCTGGTGTCAGCAGAGAAGCAACCGTCACGCCACGGGACACGCCAGTGCCCTTTCCCACGCTCCTGGGCGTGACGGCCAAGACAGACAGACAGACAGTGCGGGGCCCTCTGTGCATCCTCAGCAGCCAGGTCAGGACCGGTGTGGACGGGCAGAGGCGGCTCCCCTGTGCACACGTGGCCAGCGGGGACAGGCGCGCTATCTGACGCGCTTCTCCACCGAGTACACGGAGATGTAGTAGTCGTTGCTGCCCACGGCCAGGTGCGGCTGCGGAGGAGAGGCGGGTGAGCCAGCGGCCCCGGGGGGGCCCGGCGAGGCAGGCAGGAAAGCCACAGGCCCTGAGCTGCGGCTTTCAGAACCGTGTCAACCCCCTCGGTCCCCTGGGACCGGCGAGCCACCCTTAGGACTGCCCCCAGGGATGTTCTGGGAACCTAATGTCACCGTTCCGCCACAGCCAGGGGCCCACACGGCACGGAGGCGGGCAGGTGGCCCTGACTGAAAATACAACAGCCCACGGCCGCTCCGCGGACTGTGAATAAGGACAGGCACGGTGTGACAGGAGTCTGGGCTGCCCCCGCCACGGGGAGCACGTGTGCGTGCTCGTGTGTGCGTGCATGCATGTACATGTGTGCACACGTGTGTGTGGTTTCCCGGCAGACTTTGCTGCAAGGTTTCTCCATGGGTGACACTGGCGTAGGGGCCAAAGGTGACAAGAAAGGCTATTTCCCTGAGTGACAGGATTTGGTGCTGCTTCTGGAGTGAGGACGGTGACGGGCCCTGCCTTGGACATGGGGCACAGAAGCCCAGGGCAGGTGGATCACTTGGGCCCCACTGACCCCCGTGCTGTGGCTGGGGCTTGGCTGCAGCCCATGCGGTCACTGCCACGACACCCCACATCCCGAGCCACCCATGCGCCCCCGCCCGTGAGACAGACCCAGTGTGGGTGGAAGGCCAGGCAGCTGATGGCGCCGACCCGCTGGCCCATGAAGCCGTCGTAGTACTTGATGTTGTTGATCAGGTCCCCGTCCCCGTTGTAGATGGCGGTGAACTGATTCATGGAGCCGCTGTGGACAGGAAGAGCTGGCCGTCAGTCCTGTCCCTGGGCTGGGAGGGACGCCCGGAGGCAGCCTGCCACAGGGTGGCTGGTCCCACCCGCTCTGCACCGGCCAGGGGAGCAGACGCCTCGCTTGGGGCTCCGGCTGGGAAGCCGGTCTTGAGGGCCGGGGCCGGGCAGCGACAGGCAGCAAGGGGCCCCGCTACGTTGCTCTGGCTCATGCTCTGCTTAGCGCCCGCTGGGCACACGGAGGCCGGGGGCTGACCATGGGCCCGAGGCGGTGGGCGGGAAGGCCGCGTTCCCTCCCTCCACGGGGAGCAGGGGTCCTGCACCTACCAGGCAATCAGGCTGGCCTGGGGGTGGATGTCCAGGGCCGTGAGCCCCTTCACGATCTGAAGGACATTCACAGACTCCGGCATCCGCGGGTCGAAGAAGCGGACGTCTCCGTTGACGCTGCCGAGAGAGTCACGGTGACGCCAGGGCGTGCTGGCCCCCAGGACCAGCTGTGTGGAGGGTGCCCGGCCCCTAAAGCACCCAGTGAGGGCCCCAGGCGGCACATGCGCCCCCGGCTGACCCCGGCCAGCAGGACTGCCGCTGAGAGCCAGCAGAGGCCCTGCTGGAAAGGCAGAAGCCACAGCAGCGAAGACTCAGGGAGGGCGTGAATTGTTTTTTTCATTTCCTGTCTCTGAGATTAGATTTTGTGGAGTGGGGACGCGGGGACACGGGGACGCGGAACGGAGGGGAGGGGAGGGGACGGGAGGGGAGGCCTGGCGTGCCCCGTGTGCCCTCGGCCCCCTCCCTCCCGCCCTCAGCCTGTGTTCTCCTTCTATGCTGTGAACAAGGGAGCCAGCCTCTCTGAAGGAACAGCAGCTCTGTGGCTGTAAATCACATTTCTCTGTCCCTTTAATGGGCCAATAAATATCCGCTGCTCTCAGCGCAGGATTTACTGGTGGCAGAAGTGGATTTACGGGCAGACGGCCGAGGCACGCGCGGGGACCCCAGAGCCACGCACTCAGCGGGTGCCGCTGTGCCTGCCCAGGGCCGCGTGCCCACCCCTGCCCTGTGTGCGCCCCCGAGACCTCCCGTCACCAGCAGCGAGGCCGGCCAGCGGGAGGACGGACGCGTCCCCGGCCTGCGAGCTGGCCCTGACCCTTCTGGCCAGTCCCGGAGAAGTTAATTACCGCCCGAAATGCCAGCACTCTGCAGCTGCTAAATGCCAGGGACGTGTTTTAAGTGGAGGGAAACGAGGCTGTTACAGCCGGCGTCTCGGGAACGTCCCGCCCTCATTACCTCACGCTCACGATGTGGCCCTCGGGGTGCTTCTGCAGGCAGACCTTCACCACCCAGGCCGTGTGCTCCCGGTACGTCATGACGCGGCTGCAGGACGGAGTGGGGCGTCAGAGCCCGGGGGCCGGGCTCGGTCGGGGACATCTGTGCCCTCCAGTGCCTGGCCCGCCCGGCCCCTGACCTAGGGACCAGCTGTGACAACGAGTGTGCTCCCGGATGCCTCCCCTGGGAGCTGGAGCTCAGGGAGGCAGTGCCTCACTGGGACCCCCGACCCATTGGCTCCCCGCTCTACCACCCGTGGGGGACCCAGATGGCTCAGGGGTCTCGCTTCCCCGGGCCTGGCAGCCGGGCAGCAGTGAGACCACAGGCGTCTGGAGGGAGCCTGGCGGAGGGGGAGGAGGCACGGCGGAGTCACCATTCGCTGAGCGCCATCCTCCTGTCGTAGACGCGGATGGAGCCGTCGCCGAGGCCGGCCACGATGAGGGAGCGGTGGGAGTCACAGGACAGGCTTGTCACGCAGCTGTCGGCGCCCGTGGGGATATCCTAGGGCCAAACGCAGACCCCAGTGAGGCCCCTTGGTCCAGCCCCACAGCTGCCAGGACCCGAGAGCTCCCTGCGAGAGCTCGTCACCCAGCTGGGGAAGCCATCAAAGACCTGACGAGCCGGAGGGACTCGCGGGGGCCACCGGGACTGAGTCAGGCCCACAGCCACCGACTGCCAGCCGGCTGCCCCGGAGTCCCCGGCCAGAAGGGCAAACACCTCTGGTAAGGACTGGCTCTGGGCACCACACTTCCCATTGGCCTCCTCTTCCCTAAAGAGGAAGACGAAGCTCTTTAGGCAGGAATCGTTCTCGCCAGCCCCCCCAAACTCCTGATGAGTCCAGGAGTGTCTAGAGGGTCAGCCGCCCGCAAATTGGCCCCTTGCGGCCCCTCCAGGAGGCCATATGTACTGGGGACAGGAGGGTGGGGGGCGGGTACCCCGGCTCAGACAGGAAGAAACACAACATGCAGGACGGGGGGTTGGAGCCGCTGAAGAGGTGGGGGGGGGCTAGGGACCAGCCCCCGCCCACCAGGGGCCTCAGGGGGCCTGTGGGCGCAGAGCGTGGGAACGGGACCTTGGCTGGTTATGAAGGTGCTTTCTGGGGGTGGACAGGCCACTGGCCGTCACTGGCTGCCAGTGCAGCTGCATGGGGGAGGGCACGATACAGCGCGGTGAGGCCACCCGCGCCGTGACAGGACGTGAGGGCGTGGCAGAGGGAGCCACCTGGCCCCCCCCCATTGCAGGTCTGGAGCGCGCGCCGAGCCGGCCTGGCCTGGTTCCCTGAGGGCGTGGCAGAGGGAGCCACCTCTGCCACACGTGGAGCCACCTGGCCCCCCCCCATCGCAGGTCTGGAGCGCGCGCTGAGCCAGCCTGGCCTGGTTCCCGTCGGAGCTCCGCGCTTGGCGGAGGCCCAGGGCGGGACGCGGAGAGGCCGAGGCCCTGCCCGACTCCGGGGTGGAGGTCCTGGGCCCACGGCCACCGCCACACTGCCCGCCAGAGTGTCAGGGACCCCGCCTGTTCCCCGCCCGCTGCCGCTTTTTCTACAGGACTTAGGCAAAACCAACGCACGGCTCTCTCTTTACGAAAACCGAACGAAAGGCACTTTGAGAAGTACACGGACGTCCTGATTTACGATGTTTTCACTGCTTCCAGACGAGCAGGGCTCGCGCAGGTCTTCCTGCTGCGGTGTCCCCAGGCTGAGCGTCCAGAGGCACTGACGCTCGAGGGCGGCGGGAGCAGTTACCTGCACCTTCATCTCGCGTTCCGTGTCCCAGATCCGGACGATCCGCACGTCCCCTGAGCTCATGAGGAGCCCGGTCTCCTGCTCCCAGTCCACCACCATGCCAGCTCCTGGAGAGACGGACAGAACCGGTGTCGCCGCCGGAGCCTGCTCTGGGCGGCCAGCCCCTCAGCCCGCCGGCATCAAGGAGCGCCACCACTCGACCCCACAAGGCTCTGGCTGGGAATCCCAGCACACTCTGAGTGCTGGTCGGGGAGACAATTCGGAGCCCGCCCCCACCCCCCCGAGGGGCCCAGGCGTCTGCTAGAGGGACGGCACTGCCACGGGGACGCACGGAGGAGGGCGGGCCGCGGGGTGCGAGGCGGAACGTGGGGGCCAGACAGCGTCCGGCCCAGCCGCCAGCGAGAGCGAGGGGACGCATCCTAGAGTCTGCGGTCCCCGCAAAGCACGGTGAACCCTCCAGCCTCAGCGTCCAGGCCAGACTGACCTCTGAGGACCTTGTTGCCTGGAGCCAAGCTTTAAGGTCCTGTTACCCCAACCCGAAACGCCCTCAGCAATGACGGTCTGGGACTCCAAACAGGGCCAGCCCCAGCCTGCTCCCCAGGATGCAGATGCAGAGCCTCCCATGGGCTCAGGCCCCAGGCCCTCTGGACACCTGCCAAATGCAGGAGCTGTGGGAGCACGTGGCCAGAGGAGACAGGGTGGGGGACAGTGGTCCAGGCAGTCAGGCCTCCCAGGAGGGTGCAGGCGGCAAGCCCTGCCCGGCTGGCCCCGGCAGAGGCGTGGCTCTCGGCCTCCGCCCCGTCCTGCTTGGTCCTATCCAACTCGTCCGTGACATCCGTGATTGGTCCGCAGGGAGGGGCACAGCACCCTCCGTTCCCGTGGGGACGCGCACAAGCCTGGCTCACGGCCACACCACCTGCCGTCACCCTCCTGTGGTCACAGCCCTCTTGCTTCCTCGCTGCTCCGAGTGACTGAATGTGAGTGAACCCCAAAGGCCCCGAATGCTGGACGCTCTGCTCACCGCTCTCTGGCAGGTGGCAAGGAGCTCGCTGCCCGAGATGCCCACTGCTGTCCTGCACGTGGCACTGACTCCCATGGACAACTGACCAGCTGAGCACGGTGGCCCAGGGCCCCTCGGCCTCTGGCCCGCTCCCCGCTGCCCACCACAGAAGGTGGCCCTCTGGCGTTCCTTTAGGCCCTCAGAGGGAGTGGCCTTGCCGTTTGAGATGCACCCTGGGGTGCTGGCGCACACCTGCTGAGGGGCAGGCCGGCTCCTGGCCATGTGGCTTTGCTTCCTGGAGCCCAGGAGCGCAGAGGGCCCATCTCCAGTTTTCTCTTTGCTAAGCATTTTCCTTCATTTTGTGCTTTTTACTTCTTTGCAAAACACTAACACGCGGGTCGGAAGGTTTGTAGGAACCTCTCGTCCTGCCTCGGGGACACACGGGCACACAGGGACCCGCCAGCCCCAGGCCGTGAATGCCTGCTGCGGAGAAAGCACCTAAATGCAGGCGGGGACACGTGCTTGCCAGAAAGCTGAGCGCACCTCGGCTGGGGTTCTGCAAATGACACCTGCTGCCTGGACTGGGAGGCCCCGCCTCTCGACAATTTATGGGAATGCTGAGATTGAGAGAGAAAAAGCAGCCGTTTTGTAAAAAAATAACATCGACAGCGCCACGTCAGAGTGGGGCCGAAGCTGCAAGGGCCTTGCCCATCCTGGGCCTCCAACCTCTGCAGTGTTCAAATGGGCGAAGACACCTGTGGGCGGGGCCTCGGCGACCCTGCGCCCCCGAGAGCAAAGACAACAGGACGAAGCCAGGACGAAGCCAGGAGGCCACACGGCTGGCGCCCCACGCCGGCTGGCCTGCACCAGCAGCGGCGCCTCCCTCCCGTGGCCGTCTGTAGCCTGAGGGCCGTGCGTGTGCGTTTGCCAACACAGCCCCAGTGTGGGGGTCCCAGGGCGCTGCACACGGGCCTTTGGGTAAGGACCGTCCTGTGTCTGGGTTTTTCAGATGTAAACAGATACTGCCAGGGCCTTAGCATTAGGTTCTGAAAAACACGCTTTCCCAGACGCTCTGCAGAAGACATGTCTGGGTCTGGGACGTCTCTGCTCTGAGGAAGCTGTGCGGGTGCCGGCTGCGGGCCTGGCCGCAGGTCTGGGCTGCCCCGTCCGCCCCGGAAGCCGTGAGGATGCGCTGGGGCGCTCTCACGAACGGATTTGCACCGGGGCTGTCTCCTTCCTGGACGAGTGTGACGGTGGCTCAGAGAGGGACGAGGACAATGGAAGTGCCTCGAATGCAGTAGAGGCCTGAGAGTGGGCGTCGCGGGGGGGGACACAGTCGGAGCCCCCACTTTGGGAGTGAGGAGGCTCAGGAAGAGTGGCCACGAGGGGGAGTCTGCTCTGCAGCGTCGAGAGCCCCTCCCAGAGGCTCGCCCAGCTCCCCGACACATCCGGAGACACCTGGGTGCTCATGGCCAGTGTGTGGGCGCAACAGAGAAAAGCCCCAGCCTGAGCCTCTGCCGGCCCTGCAGCCTCCCGCAGGCGTGGGGACGAATGCCACCACGCAGAGGACAGGGCCCTGGCGGCCACAGGAACAGAGAAGGCATCCACCCCCCTGCTTACTGCAGTCAGGGTCGACGGAGACCTTTCTGGCCAGACCTGCGAGGAGACAGGGGTCGTGGGTCTGGGCGAGGGTGTGTCGCCAGGCAGAGTGAGCGAACTAAACCAAACCAGCCAAGGGTTAGTCCAGCGCCAGGCAGAGGCGGGGCAGGTGGCCCGAGGTGGCGGTGCTTGGACAGGCCCATGTGCGGTCTGCGGGCCGGCCAGGGGTCAGTGGCTGGGAACGCACACGGTTAATGCGGCTGAGCTGGCGGTGGTGGCGGGGTGCGCAGGGCTTAGCCTCAGAGGGTCCCCGGAAACAAGGCTTTTGATTCACCAGTGGCCCCGCCGGGTCTCAGAGGGCTCTGCAGGGTGCTGGGCCCAGGGGTGTCTGCCAGGGCCTGTGGTTTGGGGATGGTGGCCCCACCACTGATGCTACTTCAGAGCGTGGCACTCAGCTCCGAGGGTCCTGGGTTCTCCTGGCTGGGGCTGCGAGGGAAGCGCCCCCAGGTGCACGGCGCACGCGTGTGTGTGCGTGTACGCGGACGGCCAAAGGTATTTCATAACGACGCAAAGACCCTACACCGACGCCCCAAGACCCCAGGCTCCTGCGGGAATCGGGGTGACGGTTCTGCTCTCGACATGGCTCCGCTTTTAAAAACCACGTGCAAGAGCTGTCCCTGCTTTAGACCTGTCCACGCAGGCGGCTGGCAGCCCCCTGCCCCCCACGAAGTCACCTCTGGGTCTCCTCAGGATGGGCGCTCGAACATGAGGGGAGAGGAGCCCCAAGGACAGGCAGGAGACAGAAGAAGCCACGTGGAAGGTGGCAGGACACAGGCGAGGCCCACGGAAAGGGGACAGGGATTCCGCTGTGAGCGTCCGGGAGCCCTGACCGTGACAGCCTGTGTCCTGCTGCCAGGACACGCCAGGCTGCGAGCCGCATCGCGGGGCTCTCCCCACCCTGCTCTGGCCCAGGAAGCACGTCGGGGATGGCATCCGCGTCCCGGCTAGGGAGGTGGCCGAGCCCACCTGGCAGGTGGCGTGCAGAGCGTGCCCCGCCAGCGCCCCGGCAAGCCCGGGCGGCAGGCCCGGGGGCACGGCCAGCCCCCAGGAGTGAGTCTGGGCGCCGGGGCCGGCGGCAGCACAGCGCTTCCCCAAGCTACACTAGCGTCACGTGGGCTGGGGACGGAGGGCAGGAGCGTGCAGGCCAGCGGGACGGCCACCGCGCTCGGCCGGCCTCCAGCGTGCCAGCGCCTTCATGGTGACCAGGGAAGTTGGTGGGCTCGTGACTCCAGACTCAGCACCGTCACCGGGGGTGGGGGGGACGTGGGGCCCTGCCTCCGCCCCTCCCGGCAGCCCCGGATCCCCGTTTGCCCAGGAGGACGCACCCCGGGTTGTGGGCAGCATGTCTGAGAGCCCCTGCCAAGCGGTCACCATCTCTGGGTTCTTCTCCAGATCGGCGAAGTTCTTCCAGACCCGGATGGCACCGTCGTCTTGGGGAGAGAAGAGAGGTGACTGGAACCGTGGCCGGGACGAGACCGCTCGGATGCGGCTGTGGCGCCCCCTAGGAGGGCCGGTCCCCTGGGGCGTGGGCCCTGCCTCCCGACCTCGGCGGCTCCTCCCCACCATGTTCCCTCCCCCTCCCCGCGGACACCTCACCCAGAGAACTAGCCACACTGAGGGGCAGTCTTCGGTGCCTGTCGCCCCCTTCCCGCTCCTGTCTGTGCCCCACACAGAGCGGCCTTCACATGAGATGTGACCTTGGCCTGTGGACTCCCCGAGGTGGAACACGGCAGGGCGCCCCTCCCCACCTCCAGCACTGAGCACTGGGCGAATGGCCCTTGCGTCCTCAGCAGACGAGGGCGAGGGGAGCCTGCATCCCCACGTGTCCCCCCTTCCTTCCCCGGGTGCTACACCTGCCCTCTGGCCTCCCTGGCCCCACACGTGGCCCTCGGAGGCGCTCAGGTACCAAGCTGCTCCCGCCCCGCGTCACCTGCCCTCGAGGATGCGGTCATTCGGGAGACAGACCCAGAAACGCTCGCTGAGCCGAGTCCCCAACCTCTACCCTGTCTACTCGTCCCCTCTCTGGTCTCCGGACAGTGGGCCTTCTGAGCTCCGGAATGGGTGCCTCTGTGGTGCCTCTGGGGACCGTCCACCACGGGCCCTGGGCCCCGCTTCTGTGCTGCCATGCCCGCTGCCTTCCCCCTGCTCTCGGTTCCCGGGATGCTGGCGTGACCGTCCTTAACCCTGCTGGGCTGCACTGTCCCCCTCCCCGACGCCCACAGTGGGGGGTGGGCTTTGGCAGTGGCTTGGCTCCGCTTGGTCCTGAGGTAGCACTGCTTGGGGTGTGGCTGCTGGAAGGACCTCCCCCTGTGGGCGCCCCTCACAGCAGCGGTCAGGAACAGTGACAGGTTGTGTTGTCCCTGCAACCAGCTCAACTATCTCGGTGGCTCAGAAGCCCAGGACAGGACCAGGAGCAGGACAGGTCAGCACAGAAGAGAACAGGACAGGGCGGGCCCAGGACTGGGGAGCACGGGAGTGAGCCGGGGCAGGACGTGGCTTCTCTTGCTCACGCGTGCCCCCCGCCCCCACGCCTGTCACCTCTGAAGGAGGTGCCATCAGACAGCGGCTTCTCGTCAGCAAGCAGCAGGGGCACCCCACTTTTACAATGCTGTGGGAAAATGGCTGCTGAGCACGGGTGGCTTCCTTGGAACCGGGGTTCAAGGGTGAGGGAGAAATGACATTTCTGACCAGCAAAGAAGTCGTGGCTGCATGGTCGGCGACGCCGCACGGCCGAGGGGCGTGGCTCACCCCGGAAGAGGGTGCCCGATCGGGGCGGGCGGGGGACCCCGGAGCTCGTCACGGTGCGGCCCGCCTCCCCTGGCCTCGCTTCTGCGGGCTTCACCAGGACTACAGGGGCTGAGGCTGGCGGTGCCTCCTGGTCAGGGGAGGGCAGGGTCCCAGGGAGGAGATAGAGTCGCGGGACAATGACAGACACTGGTCACTTGGCTCTCCCCCGCAACCTGTGGGGGGACCTTCCCTCACAGGCGTCCTGGCCCCTGGACGGCGGCGGCCTCCCTGATGACCGTCCCCTTTGCCAGAAGACACGGATGGGGTTGCGTAGCCGTCCCCTGCCACCTCTGCGTCCGAGCCCGGGTCTCCGGCCACGCGGGCTCCACTCACCCGTGGCCGTGAGCAGGAGGGAGCAGTCCTGGCCGTTGAGGTACTCCATGGCGGTGACCCGTGTGTACCGGGGGTTTCCGTTGTGGAAGTAATCCAGCTTCTCCCCCTTCTCCCAGTCCCAGAAACTGGGGGAACAAGAGGGAACGAGGCTGGGAGACCACGGGGGAGACCGCGAGGGCACCCCCCCGCTCCCGCTGGGATGGCCGCGCCCGGCAGAGCAGAGATGACGCGTGCTGGGAGGATGTGCAGGCGCGGATGCCCCCCGCACTGATGCGGGGGTTGGGGGAGGCTGCGGGCCGCCAGCAGTAAACCCAGGGCCACCGCAGACTGGGCTCCGTGGCCGGGTGTTTACTCAGGACGTTTGGCCGTGTCCCCAGCAGCACTGTTCACGACAGTCAAAAGGCAGGGACAAGCTGTGACGACTAAATGGCTATAAAATGACATAAAGGGCTTAGAGCTGCACCCAGACGCTGAGCAACTAGTGCTGCTTGTTACTGTCACGTCCCTGTTAAGGATACATGACTGTCCACAGAATCCCCCACAAAAATCTATTTCCACTTGAAAGGGAGCTGCTAACGGAAGTATGTGGGTGGCCTGCAGAAGTCAGCACCGAGGTCGCATTTAGCTCCTTCGGGATCGAATCCGCGCGGCTCCAGAGCAGGAGTCAGAGGCTCCGTGACGTGACTCTGTGTCTTTTTCCAACAAAACCAGCCCAACAAGTAAACGCAACGTAGACTTCGTTCCGTTTTACGTGTCGCTTTCCTCTAACTTGTGTGAAAAGTGAACGTATTTTTAAAAAACTAGAAAACAAAGCCTGACCACTCCACCACGTTTAAAAAAAAGGTGGAAACAGCCGCCGTGTCCGCCGATGGACGGGTAACTGGGCCGCGGTCTCTTCGTGCAGGGGACGCTGTTCAGCCCGGAACAGGGCGGCCTTCTGAGCCCGGCCACGACGTGGGTGGGCCTGGAGGACGTTACGCCCAGCGAACTCAGCCAGTCGCAGGAGGACAAACACTGTGTGGCCCCACCCACGAGGTGCGCGGGCGTCAAATCCATAGCGATGGAGGGCAGGGCGGTGGTGCTGGGGTGGGGGTGGGGGGCTCAGTGTTTGATGGGGACAGAGGTTTGGTTTTGCCAGATGAGAAAGGTCTGGTGGTGGCGGTGGTGGCTGCGCAGCTCTGAGCTGGGCACGCTGACGCGGTTCAAGCGGCAGCTGTCACGTCGTGAGTGTTTAAACACAACGAAACAAAGGGAGGCGAGGGCAGGGGAGGGTGCCCTGTGCCCCGCTGGGCCCTCCCCAACCCCAGGGGGCCGTCCCCGCCACGGCTACGCCCGCAGCCGCGCACCAACACGCTCGCCCCTGCCGGCGAGCGCCTGTCACGCCCTGTGCCGTGCTCTGCCTCCGTGTGCCACGCGGGAGAGGCCCTGTCTTAGCGCTAGAAGCTCCCGCCACCCCCGGACGTGGCCTGTCATTGGGACCCCGCCAGCTTTCAGTGCTGCGGGGGGGAGGGGGCAGGGACATCCGTCCCTGCATCGTCCAGCCCCGAGGGAAGACGGAGGAAGGGGTGACGCCCATGCCGGCCGGGGCTGACGTCAGCCGCCAAGGTGCGAGTCCCGACGAGCCCCTCCGTACCAGATGCTGTCTTTATCGGCAACGGCCACGCACGGAGTGAAGGGGTGGAACTTGACCACGGAGGGGACGCCCGGGTTCCTGTTCAGAAATATCTGGTCGTCCAGTCTTGTGATGCCTGCGAGAGAAACAACAACGGTCTCACGTCACGGAAAACAGGGACGATGGCTTCGTACCAAGGCTGACAAGGTCTGGGCCTTGTGTTTGGGGACTCGGAGAAGCACCGAGCGGACAGAGGAAAGCGGGGGCCGGGGGAGCCCCTGGCTCTGCCCAGAACCCCACAGCGCCCACAGTCACAGTGGGACGCGAGGTAGGTTTTCAGTGGAGCTCGCCATCGTGTGCGTGGCGACGGCACAGCTGTGACACCTCGACTAATGCGGCCGGTTCGGATTTTTCGGAGAAAGTGCTGGAGAAAGCTCAGTGCGGCTGGGCTTGTCACTCAGACTCCAGGCTGAGACACTGGGCACAGCCAGCACCGCCCACGACCTGGACGAAGTCCTGGAGGACCTTTCAGTCTGGGAAGGTGATGACCACGCAATTCCATGGGCAGAGACTCACAGGGGAGCTCAGTGTGGATCTGTCACTAGGCCCTGACCCTAACCCCTCAGGGCGGAGTCTGTTGTAGAAAAACAATAAAGAGACTAGAAACGCAGAGCGCCGGCGTGGGTGCAGGGAGACAGGGAGATGCTCATCCGAGCAGCATGTCGGACCCCTCGTCCCCGTGGCCGTGTCACTGGGAAGGGCGTTAGAGGCTGGGACACAGGCCCCGGGTGACGCAGGGAAAAGCCTTGGCTCACCGATGCTTCAGGCAGTCCTCCCAGCCTGCCAAAACAGCGGACGCCGGCCACCCCTGACGGCAGGTGGGACAAACTCCCGGGCAAACTGCCAGGAGGGCGTGGGCATGGAGGGTGCTGGCACCCTGGACACCTCACTCCGGAGGGAGCGTCACGTCAGGCCCTGAGGGGTGAGGGACACCTGGATCTAAGTCGGCAAAGACGCTGGGTCGCAGGGGACGGCTGGAGGGCCCAGGCACGGAGTGGGTGGTGGCGGCTCTGCCAGCTCCTGTCTCCGCCGGTGCTGCCGTTTCTGGTGACTCTGCTCCATCTGCCGGCCACATCCCTCCCGGTACAGCGAGGCCGACGCGGGCCGAGCAGGCCGCCCCGGGGGGCGGGCTCTGCCGGCGACCGTCTCCCACGCCAAGTCCGACCGCGCTGGGTCCCGAGGTGCCGCCTCGCCTGCTAGGGTCCCCGCGCTCACTGCCCCTCGGCGTGCTCCTGAGGAGCTGACTCCTCTTCTTCCACAGAGCCTGGAGGAGAGCCCCGACAAGGGCTCTCAGGGCTGTCTTCAGTTTTTGCCTAGAAACCCTGCTGTTTCTCGAAAGCCTGGCCCTTGTTCCACGGCCTGCTCGGCGCTGACCGGAGGCCCTGGCCCGGGCAGTGGTACCCGTCACCTGGCCTGGGGAGTGGCGTCTGTCGGGCCAGTTTGCCTTCCGATGTCTACGCGTGTGCAGGCTCAGCTTCCGGGCCCTGCGGGCACAGGGAGACCACTGCGTCCTGCTCGCCCAGCTGTGGGCCCGCGAACCTTCATGAGCACAGCTTCTGGGCGCCGTAACTCTGCCCCTCCAAGAAAGGCCACGGTCACAGGTGGGGCTGCACTGGCTGCACGGCTGGAGCGGTGGCTGCTAGGCAGCAGACGATGGACTTGGACACTGACAAGTGCTTCACGTCGGCCACTGCGGCGGCTTCTGGGCGCCGTAACTCTGCCCCCTCCGAGAAAGGCCACGGTCACAGGTGGGGCTGCGCTGGCTGCACGGCTGGAGCGGTGGCTGCTGGGCAGCAGACGATGGACTCGGACACTGACAAGTGCTTCACGTCGGCCACTGCGGCTCCTTCACAAAGGCTGAATCACGCACAGCCAGGACCTGGAAGTGGCCGTGACGCGTGACCCCAGAGCGCTTTGCAGGGTGCTCGGCAGGAAAGTGCTGGGAACATCTCGGCTGCGGTTCCCGGTGCCGCGTGGTGGGACGGCTCGGATGCTTCGATGGCGGGGGGGACAGGGTCACAGGTCCTCACTCCACTTTAAAAAGTAACATGTAGTCACTGCAGTTCACAGGCTGGGGACCAGACCTAGCCCGTCAGCGGAGGAGACGAGATGGCACTATCCGCTCTGCGTGCGGGGTGGCGTGCCTGAAGCCACCGTGATTCAGGCCACTGCGCTTCTCTGTCTATGCAGGACGACAGCAGGACGCAGGACACGGCTCCCAGGGCGGGGCTGGCCCCTCCCAGAGAGGGAGGGGACCTGTGTGATGTCCTGGGCCGTGGCTGCTGGCCCTCCCATCCCAGCCTGACCCCAGGAGAGGGGTGGGTGGCTGTCCCCTCCCCCTTCCGTGCCCAGGGCGGTGGCAGCTAAGGTGGCTGCGGCCCAGAGCGCTCTCCGCAGCACACGGTGTCCCCCTGAGCACTGCCACTTCCCCCGGGGAGGCGGGGGCAGTTTGGTGTCTGCTGACAGCTTTGGTCAAGGGCTGGTGAAATGTGGCTGGAGCACAGCTCCGGTGACCAGCAATGGTTATTTCGGGGGCCCCCTCACCCTTCTGGATGAGCCGCCGCGCCTGCCTCCGCACGCGGGCGTTACGCAGGAACCGCCACTCGCGCTCCTTGAGGATCTGACTCTCCAGGTCGTGCTCCTCCGGGATCTGCAAGGACAGGCCGCGCCCGGCGTTACCCAGCGCCTGTGCTGCCGGGACCCGGGTTCCAGAGGCTGGTCCCCGAGCCCGTGTGGCCCCCCTCCACACACCGGGCACCGTCTCCACTGTGCTGGCCAAGGACCCCCGGACCCCGAGGGCCACACGCTGCCCTGCACCTCAGGGCCCAACCGTGGGGGCGAGGCTGCAGGCTGAAGACACGGGTGCTGGAAGGGACACGGGGGCCGTGCGGGGCCCGACCTCCCGGCAGACTGTCCACACCCAAAACGCAGTCGGACGACGGGGCGCGCTCACAGGCTCCGCCTTTGCTCCCTGATGCAAGAGGACTGAGGCGTCCAGTGCGCCCAGCAGACCGGGGAGCAGCGACGGGGTGAGCAGCCGCTGCCCGTGCACCCCAGGGGCGGGAGCTGGTGCTTCGCCCACCGCGGCAAAGGGGCAGCGGGCAGAGACCCCGCCGGGGGGAGGGCTGGGAAGGGCTGAGCTTGCTGCAGACCCGCAGGTGAAGGCCAGCTCCTTCACTGCCCTCCCAGTCAGCTTCGGAGACGTGCACGTGTGCGCCTGTGGGCTGGGCTATAGGTGGCTGTGCAAAACCAGGGTTGAAGGGAGGTCCGCACGCAACAAACAGGCTCGTGCTTGGTCTGCTTCATTCAGACACGCCATCGCGTGTTTCTGTGACAGAGACGGATTCCTTCAGTCACACGCTCATCAAGCGCATTTGCCTGACTCAGACTCCCTGCCTGAAAAGGCCCAGAACATGAAAGAAATTAAAGAAGCAGGAAGGAGCCCGACCGCCCCTCGGCCGCATCCAGACAGCGGCCATGCCCTGACCGGCTGCGGTCAGCCAGGGGCCACTGCAGAGGTGCCAAGGCCGCGGTCGGTGTTAGGGATGGTTTTCTCGGCTACAGAAGGCAGTCACACACGCGTGCTCGCGGGCCCGTGGCTGAGAACCGAGATGCCCTCCACACAGACAGAAGCGTGGGTCACCTGGAACATTCTGTCTCCCTGATGCTCGGCACGATTTCTGATCACAAACAAATAACCCGAACCCTGCCTTACTTCGCTGCCCACGCACAAGTGACCTGGAGGTCTATTCCCAGCTTTTCATTTATGCTTTCTTCTCTTAAAAATCACAGAACCCACACCCAATGAAATGGCAACTCAAGGGCGTGCAGACAGGGAGACAGGAAGAAGGGGTGTCCAATACCACGAGGACATCCAGGGGCTCAGAAAGAACCCACGAGGGCAGAGAAGAGACTGGTTTCGTTGATGACAGCCCAGAGCTCATTGGAAAAGAAACGACACATGGCCAGTAACGTGAAGCAGTGACAGGGAACCCCAAAGACTCAGTGGGCAGGAGGCCGAGTGGGCTCCGGGCTCCGTGGGGACGGGCTGGAGGGGGACATCCGAAAGGCTCCGGTGTGCAGCCGGCAGCGGGGCAGGGCGGGCTGGGCTGTGCACGTGCTCCCCGTGGCCAGGCCGAGCGCTCCGCCCACAGGCCAACACCCCGCACGGCACATGCAGGGCTGTCCACTCTGCAGCTCCAAAGGGAACAGGAGGGAGGCCGAGGACGGGGGAACAGGCGTGAGGACGTGCCGGGCACGCGGGCAGCCCTGGGTAACGGAAGGCGCCACGGGGCCTCGGCTCCCCGGTGGGCTGCCACCTCCCCTGTGCCTGCTGAGCCTCCAATCCGGGCCCGAGCTCAGAAGGGACTTTCAGAACTGAACTGCACGGTGGCTCTGTCCCCGGCACGTGTGTCTGTCTAGGGACAACCTGCTGTGAACCAGTGGGACACACACCAGCAGGAACGGACGCTTCAGGTGCAGTGTGAGAGGCACAGGTGACGGGGGCGGAGGGAGAGAGACGAGGGGACGTGACACCTGCGGCTCAGGGCAGGGACCAACGGCAGCCCGCCAGCAGCCCGTTTCCCGCTCGGCGGTCCTAACTGTCACCGCGCTCTCTCTTCCCGCCACCGGCCCCTCTCAGGCCGAATAAACGCCTCTGAGTACACGGGCCCAGACCCTGCTTCCGCCGGGCCGTCCTCAAACAGGGCCTGAGGGGTGTGACTGTCGGTGACGCTGTGACGGGGTGAGAATCACACGTGTTCTGCTCAGACAGGAACCGATTTGCACTGTGACCCTCCCACGGAGATGTGATACTGACAGCTGACAGGTGACCCGCCTGTGCGGAGTGACTCGGGGCTCAGGACGAAGGCGGGGCGTCCCCGCTGGGCTCCTGGGGAGCAGCAGCCGGGCCGCTGGCACGGGCCACAAGCGGTGGGCCTGTGACTCGGAGCTGGGGCTTCCTTCCAATGCCACGGATTACAAAGGTTCCCGTTGCTCAGGGGAAAATTCGGAACAGGCCCGCAACTGTAAGACAGGAGGAGACAGCAGCGGGGGACGGAGCTGGAGGCTGGCTGACCGGGGTGAAGGCCTCGGGCACCGAGCCCTGTCCCCACCCAGAAATAGCGCGTCCAGGTGGCAGGATGTGCGGATAGAGTCCCCAAGGCTGCCTGCCGCCTGCCATGTTTTCATCCCCCTGCTCCCTAGACAACGAGGTCAGCCCTGTGGGAGGTCACCGTGCGGAGGGCGCACGGTGCTGATGGGACTGAGTGTGCCTCCTCTGTGTGACAGCTCACAGGTGCCCTTCGAGTTACAGCGGGGCCGGGTGACAGGCCCGTGCTCCAGGCACTCCCAGGCCTGACCACCCGTCTCCAGTGTCGGGCTGGCTGAGATGCAAGTCACACACAGGGCATCTCAGCATTCCGGGGCACAGTTCTGAGTTTCGGCAAGTGCCACGGTCACGGACCCCCGTGGCGGTGGAGACCAGCTCCAGCCCCTCGTCCTGCCCCCGAGTCGGCCTGCCCCTCAGCCCGCTCGGCCACCTCTGCTCTCTGTCCCGGGCCTCTGTCCCCTATCTGGACACCGTGCCAATGCGTCATGTGGCTTGCAGCCTAAGCCGGGCCTGCCGTCCGCAACGTGGCCATCACGGCTTATTTACCGCGGGGAGGGGGTGTGGGTGTTCCCGGGTTTTGGTGGCTGTGAATTAAGTCACCACAAACACTCGCAGAGGTTTCCGGAGGCGGCAAGCCTGAAGTTCTCCCGGGCGGACACGGAGGCGCGGAGATGCTGGGCCGAGCAACGTGTGTTGAGTCACGAGGAAGGTTCCGGGTCTGAGGTGCCCGGCGTGGTGGCTGACGACTTCGGTGTCCCACCGGACGCGGCGTCAGGGTGGCGCCTCGGCCCCCGGCGACGGACCGTGGTGGTGTGCTACGCCGCACGCCTCTGCAGCCCGTGGCTCCTGCTTTCACTTTCCTAGCAATGTGGTTTGAAAAGCGGTGATGAATTTACCCAGTTTGCCGTTTTTTTCTTGTACAGTTTGGGCCTCCTGTACGAGAGTCTCATTAAAGAAACCGTCGCCTAAGCCCAGGCCGGGACAGTTTCCTCTGGACGGTCGTGGTTCTGGCCTCACCCCCAGGCTGTGGCTCCGAGATGCGCTCTCGGAGGACGTGTGGGAAATGGGCTGTGGTCCACTTCTCCCGGCCAGCAGGCGAGCTGCGGCTGCAGCGACGCCCCCTCCACCGCCGCCCGCTGAGGCCGCCCCTCCTCCGCCCACTGGCCGCGTCCTGGCAGCTGCTGGACCCAGCCGCACTGCCAACTGGGCTCCGTCTCCGCCGTCGACCACACAGCGCCACAGCTCGGTGACGCCAGCTTCACAGTGAGCCCCGAAGTCAGACAGCACGGTTCTCCCCGCTCGGGCCATTTTGAAATCTGCTTTCGGTTCTTTGCTTTTCCCCATGAAGTTCACAATAAGCTTGTCGATCAACAAAAGGCTGAGGCCTCTGCCTGCGGTTCTGTCGCCTGCACAGCACGGGCAGCGCCCGGCCCGACGTCTGAGCACGGCCACTCCGGGCTCCTGGCGCCCACTCCTCACCAGCGCTCCATTTCCCGGTGTTCGGATCCTGCTGCGCTGTGTTTTTTTGAGGGCTCCCAGCGCCCACTCCTCACCAGCGCTCTGTTTCCCAGCGTTCGGATCCTGCTGCACTGTGTTTTTTTGTTTTTTTTTTTTGGTTTATAGCTAAATATTTCGTGGGTTTTTTTTTTTTTGGAGAGGGAGATGCTATGGTAAACCATTTAATTTCAATTTCCAATGGTTCGTACAGAGACACAACTGGTTTTGTGTCAGGGCCCCTCCCTGCGCCCTGTGATCTGGCGAAAGCCGCTCGTCCCAGTGGCGCCTGGCGGTTGCTCAGGGTGCCGCGTGCTCACCGTCACGGCCATGAGCTCCGGCCGCTGCTGTCACATACTCCGCCCCGTGTCACGGGGCTGGCCAGGACGGTGGGGAGGGTGCTGTGTGGGGACAGCGGGATGGAATGCCCTCGCCTCAGGCGTGGTTTCAGAGGAGAAACGGGCAGGCCTTTCCCCAGGAGAGGGGCGGTGGCCGCATGCTGTCCGTGGCTGCCCGGCACGGGGCTGGGGCCCGTTCCGCTTCTGGTTTGCTGGGCGTTCTTACCATCGGCGGCTGCTAAGTTTGGTCGAGCCCTTTTTCCGCAGGTGCTCAGAGGCCCGATGGCTTTTCCCTGGTCTGCGGACACAGTCCATTACAGGATGAACTAAAATATGTTGGCTCCACTTTGCGTCCTTGGGATGGAACTGCTTGGCCGCCAGGGAGTTGCCCGCTTTGCGTGCGGCTGCATTCGACTCGCTGGAGCCACGCTGCGGGTTCTGGGTCCGCGTTCACGGAGGACGTTTTCTGTTCTTCAGCTGCTTTGCTGTCACCGTGGCGCTGGCTCCGCAGTGAACTGGGGAGCGGCCCTCCTGTCACGTTGTCACAGCTGCTGTAGAGCTGGTGCTGCGTCCCTAAAAGCTCTGGCAGGGCTGGCCGGTGACACTGCAGGCCCGAGCTTTGTCCTTGTTGGGAGGTTTTAACTGCAAACCCACTGCCTTCATCAGGCACAGGATGGTTCGGGTTTGCTGTTTCGTACTGGGTTTCGGGAGTTTGTGGGTGCAACGTGGAGATGTCAGGGTATCTTCCGGGACCGTCGCCCCGTCCAGTCATCTACGCGTCTGTCCCGATGCCGGCACCACGGTCTCGTCGCTGCAACTACGCAGTGACACCCGAAACCGGGAAGCCCGAGTCCTTCTGCTTTATCTCTTACGATATTTTTTTCCCTTCAGTGCTATTCTGGGTCCCTCACGGCTCCATCTGAAATTCCGTCTCAGCTTGTCGTCTTCTACAACGTAATGATGAAAAAAGGCGGCTGGGTCTCCGTGGGACGGCGCTGAAGCTGTGGGGCTCTTGGGGACTCCTGCCACACCAGGTCTTCGGGTGCGTGGACGCGCAACTTCTCTCCACTTAACTCTGGTCTCCTCTAGCGTCCTTCAACACGGTTCCGCTTACAGACTGTTTGTTTTAAAGAAAGATCGCATCTGACCTAGTGAAACCTCAGTCACTGACTGTTTACAACCCAGCGACGATCTATGGGATGCACGGGGGCTGGCGCCCCGGCCGGCGCATCTGGGGACAGGCGGGGTGGGCGATGACCAGCAGGCGGGAGCATGGCAGCACGCTGGGTGCCCCCCACCTCACTGCCCGCCCCACAGGCTGTGCCTGCGGGATCCGCCTCTATCTATCTGCTTCCCTCCTGAGCCTGCCAGGAAAGGCCCGGCATCGTTTCAGAAGCTGGCGACGGTGTGGTGGCCCCTGGTACAATCGAAGCCATAGCCAACTAAGTCACCGAGGAATAGTCTGAGGGGGAGACCAAGTGACACTCTCAGGCTCTGTCGGCCTGAAGGTTTATGTACAAGAATGTCATGTACGCTGTCATTCATCGCAGGAAAACCCAGAAAAAGACATTTTCATGGACGAATATGTGACGACGTGAGGAGTTCAGTGTTCACGGCACAGTGACAAACGGACAGAGCGCAGTGTGTGCAGGATACGCTGACTGTGTGCGTGCGTGCGTGAGTGTGCGTGTGCAAATGTGCACATGCGCGTGTGTGCGTAAGTGTGCGCTTAAGTGCACGTGTGAAAGTGCGTGAACGTAAGTGTGTGCGTAAGTGTGTGCGTGTGCAAGTGTGCGCGTAAGTGCGTGTGTAAGTGCATGTGTGTAAGTGTGTGTGTGTAAGTGCATGTATGTGAGTGCGTAAGTGTGTGTGTGCCTGCGCTATGGGTGACTTCGATTTTACTAGCAGTATTTTTTAATTTGAGGTTTAAAGAAAATAGTTCAGTGCACTTTTTAAAAGCGCCACAGATGTGCAGATTTAATCACGCGTCACCCGCAGCACGCCCACGGCCTGTCCCCGTGGAGGCCGGGCCATCGCGGCCGGGCATCGGGCTGTGAGCAGGTTGTTGGTGCTCACGCCACACACAATGTCCGAGCGTGAGCCGATCGGCTCTGACAGCTCCTTCTGTAACTAAACACCACATTTAATCTGTTCTAAATTACAAAACTAATCGGTCTAAAACACCCCAAACGACCCAGAGTGCACGACGTGGAAAGGGCCTTCTGCACCCAGGCCGCCTAAGCGAGCACTCGCGGGCCCCGCGGCCGAGCTGGGAGCCGCAGCCCGCATGGGTGCGTCGTTCCCACTCAGTCCCCTGATTAACGTTCTTGTTTTGTTTCCCACGTCCGCCGTTGCGGACAGCGCTGTGACGGGCACCTGTGACCCACACTGGCGCCCGTCCACGCCCAGCAGTGGTCTTAGGGCCTGCCTCTCAGGGTGCGCCGAACCGCCCTCCACCGCGCCAGGATCTTCCCACCAGCAACAGTGTCCGCTTCCCCCTCCAGGCTGACCTCTGACCTCTGCACAAAATCGGTCTTTGAAGCTTGTCCACCCGTGAGTGACAAACCACCCTACTACTTGCGTGATGAGGGCGAACTTCTGTGTCTCTCCGTAAAGCACGCGGTGGACCACGCGTGACGTTCTCTCCAGAGCGGGTGTGAGCTCTGAGCCACCAAGGGCGAGAGGCTGTCACCCGGCTAGGGGGCTGTCTTTGCGGTCATGCGGACCTGTAAGAAATCTGCCTGTGAGCTGACAAAAGGCCAGCAAAAGCTGTCACTGCCATCGTTTTCGGGTGCTCCCACTGGCGTGAGTCACACTCGGCTGGACTGCGGGGTGTCACTCTGCTCCCCGTGAGGCTGTTTAGGGTCGCGGTTCCTCTGTTCTTTTTGAGCGCTACCTTGAGCTATTCTCAGCCACACGTGAAGCGGGTTAATAAAAAGGTTCCCAACGTACTTTATCGCACAAACGTGTCGCTAGATGATTAATTAAATTAATAAAAGAACGCTCTGTGAATGCCACTTGGAAAAACTAGGGAAAAAATTAATAATGAGACCAAATGTGTTCTCAGAAAAGGTCTCTCACTGAGGTAGAAGAGACGTCAGTGGCGCCTCAGGAGCCGCCGCTGCGGCTGCCACCGAGGATGCAGGGAGTGCACCCCGTCCCGGCGCCGGGGTGCGTCATGGGCGCAGCGGCCACGCGCGTTTGCGTCTGTGTGCGTGGCAGGGCCCAGTCCAGGGGGGCCACTTCCTCCCACCTCACGGCTCACACCGTGGGAGCCAGCACGACGCATCGGGCCAGACCACTAGGCCGACAGTCGGCGTCCCCGTGCTGGTGACACGCGGGATCCCCTGTGGGAACCCTCAGACGCACTTCCGGGCACAGGCACGGAAGGACATGAAGGCCAATGGGCTCCGGGCTGCATGTGACGCAAGGGAGGCTGGGGTGCTGGCTTCAGGCCGGATGCTGGCTCTGGGTTTGCGCGTGGGCGAGACGTCCGAGCACTCACCCCTCGAGGGTCTCTGGGGACTTCGGCCACGACCCGCTCAGGCGCACCCGACGCCAGACCCATACGCTGCGCTGAGGAGAGGCAGGCAAATCCTTGGGGGAAAATCAAACTCATTCTTAAGTTGAAGAGGAATGAGTTTGGGGTAACTGAGGCCACTTCTCCCTGTTGTCACAGGCAGATGACTGAGAAGAGGCATGTTTCAAAGGCTCTGAGGAAGCCGCTCCCTCACTGCTATCCCAAGAAATCACTGCAAATTGTAGCCACGAACGCTGCGGCGAGGGTGAGCCCGGGGCGCAGGGAGCTCCCAGCAGCTCGGCCCACCGGCCACGTGGGAGGCGAGAGATCGCGCTTCCGTTGTGCTGAGCCGCAGGTCTCAAGGGCCAGCGTCCCAGGGCCAGCGCCCCGGAACAAGCCCGCACTCGCCTGCTCTCCCTCCCTCACCCGGCAGAGCGCTGTGACTGGGGGACTGCGCACAGCGGCCACCTGAAGTCGGCGGCAGCACACGGGCTGGTCCAGCCACACGCTGTGCTGGCCAGAACCTGAAGCACAGCTGCTGTGAACCTTCCTTCCTTCCTTTAAAACTTCTTTTCTGACTGTGAAAATGCTTTGTCTTCGTGCAGAAAGTGCAGAAAAGACAGAAATGTCTGAGGAAGAAACAAACTGAGTGCCACCTCCACCGGGTCACCTGTCCCCTTCCAGTCTATGTCCTGGGCACAGGCACAGGCATGTTCCGTGTCTGTAACTATGACCGTAAACGACGTCACGTTACAACTGTGAGAAACTGGAGCCAGATGTGTCTTGCTTTCATTTCTCTTTAAAAGTTTCATCGTAAGCGTTCCCTTATGACATTAATTTTTAAGCTTTGTTTTTAAACAGCTCCAAAAATACCGTATCAACGCTTTCATTATTTGTAACCACTGTCCTGTGGTCCTCAGCTTTCGCCGCTGTAAATAAGACACAGATCACCCACATCTCCGATTATGACCCTAAGTCCGTATCTTAGCAAACGAATTACTGGGTCAAAGGGGACGGCAGCTAAGGCTCCTGCTGCTTCCCACCAAACTGCTTTCTGGAAAAGCTGGGTCGAGTTAAGAAATGAGAAAGAACGCTGCTCCCTCTTTCATCAAAGGGGCTCGAGAAATCAGAACTTTAAAACCGGCCTTGGGCACTGACGATGACCACTCTTGTGTTTTTATTGACAAAACTGCGTATCCCTCCGAGGAAAGGGGAAAGTGGGTGGGACGCTGTACCCAGGAGTCAACGTGCCCGTCCCGGGCACAGCCCACACAGGGGGCCCGCCGTGCGGTCAAGGGCCAGCTGTGACTTCTACTCATCTATCTGCACGGGGGCAGACGAGGGTTCTGAAGATGCACACCGCAGCTCCTGACTCTGCTCTGACACGGCAGTGCCTGAGCCGCCCCATCACCCTGAGTGTGTGGCTCGAATCTGCAGTGACGGGAACGTTTCCCGTCACGACTGTGGCAGAATTAAACCTGAGAGGTAGTCCCCCGGAACAAGCCAGACGTGTCAGAATTGGCCCCAGTGGGCGAGTCTTTAAAAAAAAAATCCTCGAGCTTAGTCCCAAAGCATGGAGCCGCCCCAGCACGGCCTGGGGACAGGCCGCGGGCGGCCCTTGGGGGTGGGGGAAGTCAGAGGCCTGGAGTGACCTTGCCAATGAAGACAAAACGGTACGGTTCACGCGGACAAGCTCAGGAATGGCAGGCTTCTGCTGTTCTGAGAAGACAGGAGAGCAGACGAAGTCTGTTTCTTTTGCTGCTTTATTTTAGCTGCCAGCTCCAGCTACCAGGGCAGCAATTTGGCGTCACCCTTCAACAGCGGCAAATGCAGTGGGACAGGAGCCCCAGAAGGGTGGTACAGGTGGCTGGCACAGCAGGGCCCTGGGCGGCCCTGGCCACCTGCCTTGGGTCACGGCTCAGGGACATGGCCTGTGCGGCCCCACCGAGGTCGGAGGGGCCACAGTGAGTGGCCGGCTGAGGGTGCCAGTGAACAAACCCAGGGAATTTTGGACGGTCAGCTTGAGCAGAGGAGCCCAGACATGCTGGACTCTCAGGGGAGTGAGGCTCAGGGACCCCAGCTGCTCGGGCAGCCGTGGGGAGCACACCCTTTAAGCCCAGGGCACGGCGCACGGTACCTTCATGACGGGCTGGGCAAAGTACCGGGCGCTCCAGTCGCAGAAGCCCGTCTGCATCGTGGCCGAGATGAAGCCCTTGTGTCCGGCGGCGTCGTCCGGGTCGTCCGTCGTCTTCGGGTGTTTGGAAAGGAGCGAAGAGAAACCAGTCAGTCAGGTCCCCCCCGGCTCTGTGCGCCTCCCACACCCGCCCTGCAGACGAGGCGGGCAGAGCTCTGGCCCCGGGAGCCTTCCGTGCTGCCCTCACTGCTGCCCTCACTGCTGTGCCCTGGTGACCGGGACCCGAGTGGATGGACCTCCTGGGAACCCATGCTGGGGTCTGCCTGCAGCTGCACACGGGGCGCTGTGTCACCCGGGGCCGGCGCGGTGGCTTCGGCTGCCACCCTCCTGAGCTGGCTGCATGTGCCCCTGGCCCTGGGCCACCGCCCCCACAGGCCTCTGCCACCTGGCGTCCTGACGAGGGCAGAGGCTCAGGTGGCAACAGCACAGGCCACCAGGACTTATGTGTGGTCCAGCACCCGGCACTGCCCCCAGGACAATGCATCGGTCCACGACCTGCTGCAGTTGTCACAGGGGAGCTTGCCTCACGGGGCTGGGCGCGAGGTGTCCCCACGGTGCACGGGTGGCCGGAGTGCAGGTGACCCTCACGGAGAACCCTCGTCACCCAGGGGAGACTTGCCCAGAGGAAAGTCCACAGGTGGGACTCAGTGACAGGGTCTCACTCCTGCCTGGTGGGGGGACCGCACGCCGCTGCCTGTCACGGCGCTGCTCTGCTGGACCAGGACCTGGGTCACAGCCCCTGCGCCCGCGGCTCCTGCCCGGCTGCCCACGTAGGGTCCAGCCCGAGGTTGCAATGAGCGCGTCCTGGGTGCCCACGGCTGGAGGCCGGTGGCCTCGGAAGCTGGGTGGAGGGGGCACGTGTGCGCCTCTTGCTCCGAAGCCACCCTGCGGGGGCTGTGACCTGTGTTAGGACTGCGGTCACGGTGACTGTGGGTGAGCGGGGTGCGACATGGTGGCACTCGGGGTGCCGAGCCCCTCTCTAGGCCATGCGCCCTTGGCCGAGAAAGCGGCAAACAGTCCAGACAAGGCGGCAAAAGCCCAGCTACGTGTCCTCCCCGTAACGTGTCCCCCTTGTCACCGTCACCGTCACCGTCCCCCGTCCCCGTGTCCTTGCCAGCGTCTCCTGAGACTTCTCTTCCCGCTCAGAGGCAGAGGCGTGCCCACGTCGGTGGCCTGAGTGGACGCTCGCGGAGGGGGCAGCAGACAGCTCAGCACACGCGGCTGGGGCGGGAGGCGCAACGCCACTCGCCCACCAGGGGGACGCAGACCCGCGGCAGGTGCTCACCCCGCCACGGGGAGGCTGCCAGGAACGGAGACCCTGGGACTGGGGGCCACCGTGAAGGGCCCCCCGCGTCCCCCGGGGTGCGAGGCCCAGGTTGTCCCTAACGAAGCATCTGGACCCCGGGGCGTGCGTGAGTCTTAGTGCCACGGCGTCCGCACCTGGTCCGGGCCCTTGTCGAACATCTTCCGCGTGCGGGGGAACTGGTGGGAATGCGGGGTGTACTGGGTCCCCACGGGGCCAGTAGCACCTGGCCGGCTGGGGGGCAGGTCTCGGCTGACCGGCTGCTTGGCCACGTCGTTGGTCAGGCTGGAGCTGCTCGCGCTGGACGTGGGTGGGGAGCCTCTGTCGTGGGGAAGAAGCGTGCGTCTTACCCGGAGCCCGGCCTCTGCCACCGAGCTGTGGCCAGCGGGCCCAGGGCCCTCGGCTCGGCCGACCTTGGGTCCCCGACCCGTCGGCGTGACTTCCAGACACCAAGTGCTGATGCCGGGTTCACGAGCCCTTCGTGCGTCCGCCTGCGGGTTCTGGGGGCCCCCCGAAGAGAGGCGCGGCAGAGGCAGCGAGCCAGCGGGGGCACGTGCCCGCTGCCCTCTGCTCATGCGCAGCCCCCGCCACGCGGTGCCAACGCGGGCGACGGGGAGGATGCGGGCGTGCGGCAGGGAGCGTGGGGGTGTCCCGGGACGGGGTGCTCTCAGGCGGCAGCACTCACCCCGCCTGGTGGATGTGGACGCCCTTGTTGGTGGGACTGGCAGGCGCCGACTGGGTGAGCGAGGACGCGGTGAGGATGCGCTGAGGCCGTGCGTTCACGGTGGCCTGAAAGAGCAAGGGGACGCGTGACGGGGACGCGTGACGGGGACGCGTGACGGGGACGCTCGGCTGCCACGCTGAGGGACAGCACAGGTCGGCAGTGGCCTTTGAGAGGCTTCAGCGGACAAGGCCTCCTGACCCAAGAACTCTCACACACCAGTGGAAGGCCCCAGCTGAACACACCGCCAGCGTCACCCTGCAGATGAGGTGACACTCCTGCCTTTCCAGGGATCGTCTGCCTGTGTCCGGTGAAGCTCCAGGGCGGCCATCCTTGCAATAGCCCAAGGCCAGGCTGATGGTGGTTCCAGTGACGCCGGCTCTGTGTGCCTCAGTCCATGAGCCACCTCCCCACCCCACCCCGCCCCCGGCCACTGTCCCCTCCTCCCTGAGGGCGGAGTTTCCCACTCCTGGAAAAGGGCACCTGCCTCTGCGCCGTTCACATTCCAGGGGCAGCTCAGAGCACGGACACAACAGCAGGTGCTGTCACCCCCCCTACACACGTCCCAGGCTGGATATTTCGCCACTGAGGACGGTGCCCTCTCGAGACTGTCGCTCAGATGGAAAGTGGCTGTTTCAATTTTTTCGGTAGAATTCTGGGTGGATCCGGAGACCGGATGCCCGCTGGGGTGGTATCGACGAGGAGATGCCAAGCACAAGGCGTCTCTGCCCCTCTGCTAGGGACTGGCCGCCTGCCACGTCCCCTCTCCAACATTCTGCTTGGAGCATACTGGACATCTGGACGGGCCCTGCTGGCGACGGATGCCCGCGGGAAGGGGTCAGAAGGGCCTGATGCCGTGGAGGTGGCGCCCCCCTCGCGTGGAGTGGTGGGTGCAGACTGCTCCCGGGGTGCGGGAGCCCCCCAGCGAAGCAGGCAGGACCTTGGCCTGGGTGGGCTGACCTGCCAGCGGGATGCTGGCCTGGCCGCTGGTGGCCACCTGCACGCTGTGCTCATTCGCTCAGCGGCTAGGACATCACAGCTATGCGCGGCCGACAGACACGAAATCACAGAAACTAACACCGTAAACGCCACCACGTCGGGGTTTCCCAGACGCCCCCTCACTCTGAAATAAACTGAACCACAACCAGCCCTAAGTGTAAAAAAAGTTTTTGAATTACAAAAGTTCTAGTTTGTGAACTTCCTTTTGCTGTGGTGTTTCACTCGGCCAGCACGCGCGCGCACGCGCGCACGCACGCACGCACACACACACACACAAAACCTGAGAGCAAAACCATCCCTCGAGAAGTCTGAAAAGAGAAGAGGAATTTTAGCCAAGAAACTATAAGCTCAGCGCGCGTCCCCTAGAGGCTTCCCGACAGGCAGGGGCAGGCGACGGCGAGCACGGAGCTTTCGGGGTTGAAGTGAGGACACTGGCAGAGCGTTGGCTGAGCGCGACTCTGCGCTGGGGACGTCTCCTGGGCCCTCCCATGCTGCCTGCTACCTCTGTGCCCCTTCGGGGTCTCCAGGGAGCCCAGCGAGTGGGAGCCCGCGGTGACTCAGCGGGGCCTCTCGGGGTGGTGGGTGGCCCTGCAGGGCTTCGACGCGCTGCTCGGCCACGGCTGCTGCCTGTCTGACCGTCCCAGCTGCAACACCCTCAGTGCTGAGGCAGGCGGCCGGCTCAGGGGTTTCCCACGTCTGTAGCCCCAAGGCTGGCCACCGGGGCTCCAGGCGCAGACGGCGCTGTCTGAGCACAGCAACTGCTGTGTGCTCAGCAAACATTTACTCGCTGATCCTGGCTGGGTGTGGGCTGGGTGTGAACGGGGTGGGAGGGGACCCCGGGCAGGCGGCCAAGCGGGCCCCCTTTCCCCGAGGGACTGTGTGGGGACAGGGGGCTCAGGGGGCAGGTGGCCGGCTGGGTGAGGAGCTTTCCAACAAGTGGCCTCTCTGTGCTGGTCCCAGCTGCTGCCTCCATGGGGAGCCGCCGCCAGAAAGGTAGACAGAAAACAACGGTGTGCCCACTGGACGTCCGGGTCTGGGACCGAGCAGGGTCTGTGGGGCCCTGGGGTGCGCTGCGAGCCCCCTCGGGCGTGACACCCTAAACCCTCCCACCGCCCTGGCTGCACTGAACCTCTGGCAGAGCAAACGCGCCAGGAAGCGGCCTGCGGGGGTCCCTTCCTCACCAGCCAGTCAGAGGGGACAGCGGGCAGCTGTGTGCACGGTGCAGGCCAGCTGTTCAGAGGAGCAGACACCGTTTTGAAATTGAAATCTCAGGTCAGATGTACCCTTAGCCCAGTGTGAACACAGTAACGATGTGCGTGCGTGTGCGCACACACACACGTCACCCGCCTCTGCTCCCTGTGCCCTGTGGCTGATGGGGGCTCTGTGACCCGAGCTTCCATCTCAACGATCGAATCGATGCAAGGCACAGAGACGGGAGTGACGGAGACCGAGTGCGTCGATGGGACAGGCAACGGGAGCACCACGAGGTGGCTGTTTACGTGTCCTGTGGTCGTGGGCGAGAGACACCCCCAGGTACTGGCACCAGGAATGGAGAGGGGACATCACCGCAGGTCACCCAGACACCGAGAGGGTCTGCGCGTCACCTGCCACCGGGTGCTCTGACATGCACGTGGAGACGCAGTGCAGGGCGCCCCAGCTAAGGCCACGCGTCAGTGGTTCAGGGGACACGAACCCTGAGTCACACCGGAGCCCGGCCCCCACGCACCTTGTAGGCGATGCTGTTGAGCACCTTCATGGCCAGGTCAGACACGTCCGGGTAGGGGTCAGCGGCCAGGTGCAGCAAGACCCTCCAGATCTGGGTGTAGACGCTGTTGAACGACACCCCTAGGAAAGACAAACAGGACAGGTCTCAGCGGCAATGGCTGCCGTGGCCGCCGGGCGGCTCCTTTTCCGAGCGCCGGTCCCCACGGTCAGGGAGGGAGGCCCCGCGTCCTCCCACTCGGCCTGCCTCCAGAGGCGGGATCTTTCCAGAAGGAAGAGTGAGTTGGGAAAGAGCGGGATGTCCACCCCGGGCCTGAGCTGCCCGGTGGGCGCCCAGCTCCCAGGGGACCACGGTGTGTGTGACGTAATCCGAGGCATCCAGGTCTCCCAGGACACCATTTCCTGTGTGTTCTCCACGGGGACAGCCTGCACGGCGGCCAGCTGTGGACGTGGAGGGAGGGAGGATGGCTTCTTGAGGGCCAGCTCAGCGAGGGCAGCTCAGGGCTGTCAGCCGGGCCCACGGGGGGGACACAGGCCCAGACCCTGAAGGTCGAAGGGTGTGGGCGCCGTCTGCTCTTCAAGCTGTGACACTGTGCTGCCCGGGCAGCTACAGCACCAGGTGGGAGACGGGGGGCCGGATGGCGGGGGCCAGGAAGCCCGGGGCACGGAAAGGCCCTGGCGGGGTGGACAGTCAGCCAGCCATGTGGGAGGACACTGGAGCATGGAAGAAACAGCCCGGCCATCGCCTGGGCATGTCAAGCAAAGGTAATGCTGGAGTGGCCGGCAGTGAGCTGAGCGGCGCCCGGGCATGGGGACAGTGCAGGCTGAGGCCGGAGTGCGTGCCTCCAGGACGGAGCTGTGGGTCTGGTGTCCACACCGCAACAGATCCAGACAGGCAAAGACGGAGATGGGGGGGTGAGGGAGGGGTGGAGACAGCAGCTGGCCAAGGCTGAGGCCGGGCAGGGCTGGAGGAGCAGAGCGGGTGCTGCCCTGGCACCCACTCATTCCTGGGGTGCACCTGGGGGCCGGGCAGGCGTGGCCCACACTCCCCAGGGCAGGAAGTCTGGTGAGGACACGCCACTTGCAACATGTCCTTGTTCTGGGGGAGGCTGGACAATTGGTTAAAAAGCATGAGCCTGCTCCACAAGAGTTTGAAGGAGGGTCTCACCAAGTCACGGTCCCATGTCCCCTGGCTGGCCTTCCCCGTGAGCTTGCTGGGTCCCATCCCCTCTGGCTGGCCCTCCCCGTGAGCCTGCCAGGGTGGCTTGAGGAGCCTGAACGTCAGCAGCGCTGTCGGGGTGAAGTGTTCCCCGCCTGGTGAATGCGACAGCTCAGACGGAGTGGGCTTCACGTGACACGTGCAGATGAGGAAGACCAGGCAGTACAAGCCAGCTCTGTGCGAGGGCCGTCCAGAGACACCCACAGCCACACGTGAGCTCACCTCAGCTGACACCCTCCAACCCGCAGGGGACAGGTGGCGCCCCTTCGTTCCCACTAACCAGGGACAGTGGGTTCTGGTGTACATGGTGGCCAGCCTGGGACAGTGGGTTCTGGTGTACATGGTGGCCGGCCTGGGACAGTGGGTTCTGGGGTACACGGTGGCCGGCCTGGGATAGTGGGTTCTGGTGTACACAGTGGCCGGCCTGGGACAGTGGGTTCTGGTGTACACGGTGGCCGGCCTGGCACGCACTTCACCTGTCAGGGTGACGGAGGCGAATGAGCCTGGCCTCTTGCGCACAGACCTCCCTCCCAAGGTGACACTGCAGACACGTCCCAAGAAGCAGACGCAACTGTCCTCCAGCGGCTCTGCCACCACAGCGTGGGGACACTGCTGGCTCAGCCATGGCTGACAGGTGCTGGCAGCTGCTCGGTGTCTGGGTACCTGCGGCACACGGCCGCCCAGGGTAGCCCGGGATAGTGCCGTGGGGTGAGGGCAGGCCCTGTGGCCAGAAGGGCCCTCCAGGGACTGTCCCCGTGTGCGTGGCACCAGCTCTGGTGCTCCGTGCGTGAGGAAGGGGCTTGAGAGCGTCACGGTGACAAGGGGTGGACGTGGCACCCTCTAGGACTCCGGCCAGCGTGGGCCTGGAGCCAGGGAGGTGGGACGTGTCAGGCAAACTCACTCGCACCTGGAGGCAACCGTGTGCAGGTGACCTATCCACATGAGCCACGCGCCTTCTCCTGCACCCGTGAGACAGAACAGAGCCTCCTGACCAAACTCCATGACCCTGGGCCACTGTCCAGACTCGGACCCAAGTCCCCACAAGCTGCTGAGCTCGGGCTAGGCCCTCGGGGTGAGGGTGGGGGTCCCTCCGACCTCCTTCCCTGTCCTCCTAGGCGATCTCCCGTCTCGCTTCTTTTAAAGAGGAGGAGGGTGGGCTGAGTCTGCTCTGGGACAGCTGTGGGGACGAGGCACATGACGTGGGAGAGGAGCCCACGTGGGTGGGATGAGCGGGGCGTCCCTCGCCGTCACCAGCCCGCTCGATGCGCCCACGACGACTCAAGCTCTTCATGGCCTCGGGGCAGATTTTCCCTCCATGGCTCTTGGATTCTGAGCGACACGTGGCAGCAACTTCCCCAAAGTGTGGCTGGCTGTGACAGGGAGCTGTGGCAGGACACTTGAGCGGAGGGGACATGCAGCGAGGCTCAGCCTGGCTGCAGATGGCAGATGGGGACAGGGCAGGACACTGGCGCTGAGGGCGGGCTGGGCACCTGCGTGGAGCCGCTGGCCTTTGGTCTCCTGAGAGCAACTCCAGTGGACAGACCCCTCCTGGGCGCTGCCCTGGGCTGGATGGGAGCAAGGGCGCAGGGCAGTCCCTCCTGGCTGTGACCTTGGCCCATACGGTGGGGGCGGTGAGTGCAGGCCTGGGGGAGGTCTCTGGGTCCTGGACGCTGGGACCTCCCTGGTGAAGGCGTGGGCCGTGCTGGGCACCACAGGTGGGGCGCGTGGGGGACGTGCTGCTGTCACCGTTGACTTAGGAAGGCTGTTTTTATTACCGCTGCTTTTCCCGCAGAAGACTTCAACTCTGATGTAACACCGTCTGTGATTCGAAACGGAACTAAAACTTCCCACTTTGTCCGTGCCCTTGACCGTAAGGAACGGTGCAACCACGCACCGGCGAGCAAACCAGGGCACGCGGTCGCCCCTCGCCACAATCCCCTCGGCCTCTCCGTTACATAACTGGCCCGTCCAGACGTCTGTGTCCCATACGCGGGAGCCCCCGGAGTGACCCCCCAGGGACAAGGACACGCGAGGCTTCTGGTCTCTGCTGCTCAGACGGGCGCCTGCCTGGCGCTCGCTGAGCTCCCCGTACGTGCCGGGAACCCATTTTCGTGTCTAGACTGAAAGCAGCGCGAGCCGGGAACTCATGGTCTCAGGGCTTGTTCCTCAGAGCGACGGCCACAGCTCCCCGATCAGTGTGAGGTGAAGGGGTGTTTGCTCAGAGCTCTGCGGCAGTTCTGGGTCCCCATGTCCCCTGCTGGCGGAGCGGCTCAGAGGAAGGAGCCTAGTCTCCCTGGAGGCGGGAGCTGTCACCTGTCCTGGCTCTCATGGGTCCCCTGCTCTGTCGCTGTCGGGGGCCCGGGGGCTGAGAGCCCCTCCAGGACCCAGTCCCTGGCCGGCTTCTGCATCTGCCCCTTTGTGATGGCCCTCCTGTCGCTGGCCCCCCCAGGGGCTGTGCCCATGCCCTTGGGCCCCTGTAGGAGGACGCCTTCACATGCCCCCTCTGCCTGCTGGAGGTGGGGACCTGTCCCAATGCCGAGGACCCAGGGACGGGGAACCCTCAGGAAGGGCCCCCCGGCGTGTCTGCCTAAAGCCCTCAGTGACACTCCTCACATGTTCAAGAGACACCAGAGTGACCAGGAGCACGTGAGAATCCAGGGCCAGCGAGTGACAGCACTGTTCATCCCTCCCACGGGGCGGGACCGACTGTGGTTCCGGCCACCCTGCTCACAGCGGGCACTCAGCGGCCCTGCAGGCCCCGCCAAGGGCTCCGCCCCGGTGCTTCCTGGTGCCTCGAGGAGGAAGAGAAAGGAGGGGTCCACGCCGCTTCCTGAGGGTCACGCCATCCTCGACGGAGACACGCGCTCAGCCACCGTACGCAGGAGGCTCCCGGAATCCCGGCTTGGAGACGGGTCCGCTTGGCGCCTCGGTGCCCTGGGCAGTGCCTGCTTTCTCGGCCGGGTCCCTGCTCTGGTCTCTTCTCTGAGGGGAGTTGTCCCAGGCCCCCGATTCTGGGCTGGGTGTCGTCGGTCCCTGAACCTAGGTCTGGTCGTCCAGTGAACACACAACTGGGCGAACCGCCGAGCTTGGATCCTGACCCTGCCTCCTGGCCTCAGCTCCATCGTGGACGCATCGCCATGGTAACACACTTTAGTGCTACAGACTGTCACCAGGCACAGCAGAAACGTGCACACTGGCCTCTGACATGTGCTGGTCCCAGTGCTTTTGGGCAGGAAGTGCACTCACCGGCCATCACGCCCCTTTGGTCCTGAGTCCCCAGAACAGAAACTAAGTCCCACCTCGCTCCCTTGGCATGGCTGGGGCGAGGCCCCCACCGGGGAGCGGATGGAAGCACAGGCCGCCACTGCCCCTTGAGAGGCAGGTGCTTGGCTGGCACCAGGGCCAGGAGCTGTGCAGCATAACGTCACAAAGAAGGGCGGGTCATGGGGCGGAGGATGGTGAGAAGCACGTGATGGCCGGACCCTGATGTCTGGACACTGGCATAGAGTTCCACTCCCACCGCTGGGTGAGGGGGAGTCCTGGTGTGGACGCCAGCTTCAGAGTCTGTGGCACTTCAGATGCCTACTCTGCACCTGTGTGCTCTGGTGCGGGCGCCCGGGTGCTCATGCAGACGTGCCGACTGGACGGCCCAGCCTCACGCTCGGGGAAGGGCGGGCAGGCGTGTTCAGCCTCCTCCGCCCGGGGCTGCCCGACACGGGATGCGCGGGAGCCCCTGGCAAACTGGCCTGGCCCAATGGGGCCGGCTGCTCATTTCTGTACTCTTGCCTGCCAAGAACGGCTTTTCTACTTTTTAAAGTATTAAATAACCATCCAAAGGAAGACAATATTTTGTGACACGTGGGCATTTTATGAAATTCAAACTCCGGCTCGTAAATGGAGTCCCACTGGAACACGGCCGCGTCCGTCTGCCCGCCGTCTCTGGCTGCTTCTGCCCCCTGCCACGCCGAAGTCACGCACTTTCGCGCCTCACGGAGTGCGGGCCGGGTCTACCGTGGAAGTTGGGGCGGGGGTCATCCCGACGTGGGGGTGGGGCTCGCGGGGAAGCGTGTTCTCGACACGGCTCCGTTCCCACTTCCTTTTCTTCGGCGTTTCTCACCGCGGGAAATCTCAGTAGGAACAGGACGCAGAGTCGCACAGACTGAGGTGTTCAAAGTCTGCTGTGGGCCGGCCTGGGCCTTAACCGCCATGTTCGACGCTGACGCCGCTGGAAGTGTACTCCGACGCGAAGCAGACGTCTTGTGACGGACGGAGACCGTGTTTTACTGGTGACCGAGCACCCGCACTCACGCTTCTTTGAGCTGAGTCCTGTGATGCGGGTGCGTTTGGTCCTGCCGACCTGGGGAGGGGGCGTGACAGCCGCCTCTGGAGACTACCGCCCGCGCGGACCTCCTCAGGACACCCGACACCCTCGGTGCGGGGCCTAAGCAGACGTCCTCGGTCCTCTCCCAGCGGAGCAGGGGCCGGTGTCCTGCGGCTCACACAGGCCACTGGCCAGCGCACTTGGGCTGCCCTCCCCCCTCAGACCCTGACATCGACACGGAGGATCGTGGCAGGAAACGCTGACGTTTTCACACGAAGCAGACAGAGTGGACTCTGAGGCGGAGGGGCCGGAGCTCAGAGCTGACGGCGAAAGCAAGCGAGTGCGCGGAGAGGGGACGGCGCAGGTCTAGACCCCGCTCCACAGGACGGGAGGGGGCGCACGCGAGCCAGCCTCCGCTCCAGCTCCGGAGCAGAAAAGAAACGACGAGAAAACCTAACGAAAACGGAACACAAAACAAAGGTCCAACAACGAACTAAGTCAGCAAAGCGAAAGTTGAAAATGCTGAAGAAATTAAAGTTTTGTAGAATTAACCGAGAAAAAGGAGAAAAAAAGCAAACAGGTAACAGAAATAAAAAAAGAGACAAATCCACAGAGACAGCAGAGATTAAGGTCGTGAGAATATCCTGAACGACTTTATGGAAATAAATGAGAGCATTTAGGTGAAACGGACATCCTAGGAAAATATAACGTCTCGAACGAAGTTACCTGACAAAGAAACGGACAGCCTGAAAATCCTGTCGCCATCACGGAAACGGGATCTGAATCGAAACCTTCCCATACGAAACCCCGCCGGGCCCACGGGCTCAGGCCAGCGGCACCCAGACACCTGAGGGACACACGACCCTCGTCTTACACTAGGTGCTCCATTCTCTGGGGTGGGGCCTGTGTACTGGGGGTGACACTGGCTGTCAGATGCCGGTGGCCCCTGCTCTGTCCCCGCCGTGACAACCAAAACGTCTCCTGTGGCGGAGCCACCACCTCAGGGCCGCAGGAGGGAGCACGACGCAGCTGCTGGCCCAGACCTGTCGAGTGCCATCGGGTCCAGAATGAAGTGGGTGAACTTTCACGCCGCTGATGGCGAGCCACCCCGCACTTCTGCATGGCGGGTTCTGCCGTCGAGGTGCGGCTGGGCGGACGCCGGGGCGGTGGGGGCCGCACTCACCTATGAGGGAGTTGAGGGCCGAGTAGGAGCTGACGCGGCGCATCTTGTCCACCGTCTCGAAGGACAGGATGTGCTCCTCATTCTCCGGGCTGCCCAGCGTGCTGCTGGCGCTGCTGCTGGTGCTCAGGTTCCCAGGAGAGAATGCCGCCGAGCCGCCGGCTGGCCGGACACCACAGGGAGGGGTCAGCGCGGATGCCAGATCCCCCTCCCCGTCTCACAGTCGGCAGCAAGCGACGGGAACCTAGGTTTCACCCCCCACCCCGATTGGCCCTGCAACTGAGCCCTCACTCCCCGGGGCCTCGGGACCCGGCCTGCCAGGCAGTGCCAGGCTGGCTCCTGCATGGGGGACCACGGTGACTGGGGGTGCCCGTGACAATCTCCAGCCCTGCAGGGCACACGTCGTCCGCAGAGGAGGGCGAGGCCTGCTGAAAAGCGTCAGAACATAACCCCCGCCCTCGAACCGCACGCCCAGCGCCAGCATCTCACGTTCTTCTGTCAGGCTCAGGTTCTGCAGAGACTTGTTCAGGTTCCTGGCGGTGGTGACGGCACGGATGTTCCCATAGGAGCTCACGGAGCGCAGTCTGGGGGTGCAGGGGCTGTCCCGCACGGGGGTCAGGCTCCCGCCCTCTGTGGGGAAGGAGAGGGTCTGTGGTGGGCTTGGCCAAGACAGCACCTTCCCTGTCAGCTGGCAGCTAGGGCAGGTGACCGCGGCTGCTCCCCAAGTACGAGTGTCACTCAGCAAGGGTCTCTGTCACATGGGCGCTGGGGTAGCTGGACAAAGAATAACCTGGCTGGCTAAGGAATAGATGACCCAACCCACATTTGTCACTCTGAGCGTTCGGCTATGGAAGACCACGCACGGCAGGACCGGCCTCGCCGGGAGCAGCAGGCGCTCTGAGTTGGCACTGGCAGGACCCCGTCTGCTCATGTCCCCTCCCCCGTGCTGGCTGTTTGCACTGAGCGAGCTCATCCCTCGCTTCCCCCAACACTCTAACGCCCAGGGCCCTCGTCGCGGATCACGGCCCCCCTCCTGCAGGGGAGCTGCATTCCGGGGGCAGGCGCGGCCCCAGATGACGGAACACCAACCCGGGAAACAGTAGGTGTGAGAGAGGGCGCTGCCTAGCGTGACTCGCCGAGCCGTGAAACTGACAGCAAAGTGACACCGTGACTCGCCCCGGGACGCGGCCACGCGCTGTCCTCTAGTCCCCGTCACCGACCCCCCCCTCGCGAACTTGCTTTCCAACCAGGCTGAACGGAGGAGAGGTGGGGGCCGGAGCCGCCCCGCTCCCTGCCCCTTCCATTCCGCCCAGTGCCAGGAGACGGCGAACACTTCACATCTGAGCCTGCGTCCGGCACAGCGGAGGTGCCGCCGCCAGCTCTGCCCAGAGGCCCCCGGTCGGCGTCAGCGGCCACGCGCACCTGTGGTGGCCGGCGAGGGCAGGGGGTAGTTCTTCTCCTCCTCCATGAACTGCAAGGCCACCGTGCAGAAATTGCTTTCGTACTGGACTACAAGATGACTCAGGGCCACCACCAGCTCCTGCCGGGGACAGGGGACGAGAACAGTTACTGGAGGCTGGGAGATGGGGAAAGCCGTGACGCTTAAAAGTTAACGCTCAACGCTCGAGTCACCACAGAAAAAACAAAGGTGCCAGCAGCAGGGACTGTCCCTTTCGCTGCAGCCCTCAGGGGTGTCCAGTGTGAGCAGAAGCCTCTGAATGAGCGAGCGAGGTCAGGACCAGGGGCCACCGGCTACGAGGGACCTAAGAGGCGGGCACCAGAACACCTGACACGGTGGCTGCTGACTGCTGGGTACCAGTGCCACGAGGGGAGACGCGGGAGGATGCACGTGACTGACGCCCTCTGGCCTCGGGGCACGGGAAAGCGGGTCCCGTCTGACAAGCACAGATGCCCTTCCACTCGGGCAGGATGTCCAGACTTGCTAGTCCATCTCTCGGAGGTGACGAGAAGTGCTTCCGGGTCTCTGGGCCTGCCCGCCACAGTCTCAGGGGATGGACACAGACACGTCTCCCTTAGGGCAGTGGCACGTGCTACAACAGTGCCAGGGGACCCCGAACGTCCCTGGTGCATGTCCCAGCGAAAACACCCTCCAGGCGGAAGCACGGACCCCGACCTCGACCCTCTCCGCCAGAGACCCGCCCTGGGCACGGCCAGGCACGGCCTCTGATGCTTCCGCTGGCCTCAGGTTGAGCCAGGTGAGCGGAAAGGGAGGCGGGCGCCCGGCGCTGCCCCCCAGAGCAGAAGGGCACCTCTGTGGTCCCCGGTTACTGACGCAGATGACCGTGGCCTCAGAACAAAGGGCTCCAGCTCCTCCTGCCTTCCTCACTAGGGGTGTGGGACTGGGCCATCGCTCTCTGTCGCTCCCCCACTCAGGCCTCGAGAAAGGTGGGGCTGGAAACGGGGCGTCAAGAGCCTGCACCTCCAGCCTGGCCCTGCTTGATGATTAGAGTGTGGCTGCTGACAGGACGGTGTGGATTTTGTACTTAGTGGACAAGGTCAAGTTCAAAACGATTGAGGAGGCTGACGGCAATCTGCTGACTTTTTGATGTTATCAAGTGAGCTCATTAAACGAGTCAGCAGACAAAACCGTTGCCTCGGCCCTCGTCGCCGCCTCATCTAGGACAGGACGTTGTCATCACTACCACACACGCGGCCGTGACCCTCTTCCTACCGATACAAGCGACTTTACGGAAACCCTGCCACGATCGCCTGACTGTTCTCATTTTGCACGAGCTGGTGAACGCCGGCAGCTGGTCCCCAGCTACTGGGCAGAGATGGTGTCCAGAACGGGCCGCACGTGAACAAGGAGCTGTGCGGGCAGGCCTGAGAGCTTGGTCCCTGTCCAGCTGAGGTCAGGACCCTCGGGCCCCCGGCGCTGGTGTCTGCGTGCCATGGACCATGACAGCGTCACCCTGCGGCTCTGAACAAGATGAGCTGCCAGGGGCACGAGGACTCTGCCCAGGACGAGGGCCTGCGTCTCAGCGCGGCGTCCCGGCCCCCCGCTCAGAGGCGGTGACCCCTCTCCGCCCGCTGCCATCCTGCCCTCCCCAAACCTCCGTGTTTCGCGTGTCCCTAGCAGCGTCACCCACTGACCGTATCTACCGGGCCTGCTGCTGGCTGTCGCCCCTTGGAGCACAAGCTCCCTGAGGGGAGGGCCCGGGGCCTGACGCGGCTGTGCCGGGAACGCCAGACGCTCGGCGTCTGCGGAGAGCGCAGTGCGAGGCGCTGCAGGGAAGGCAGGCTCCCCACAGCGGCCTGGGCCGCGGCCTCCCCCTCCGCCTCCCCCTGCGCCACGCTGCAGCCGCACCTGGCCCCCCGCACTGCTCCCCGCCCCTGCTCCCCAGCTCCTGGCTGCTCGGCCTTCAGGACCAGCGGGCCACGCATGGTATTTCTGCACTCAGACGAATAAAAGGAAATTTTCGACTTCATCGACAGTTTTGTTCAGCCGCTGACATACACAGGGCGGGGCGGGGGCGCACACACACCCCCGTCTGTGGCCCACTGCTGTCTGAGTCTCGGTGATGCGAACGTGTCGCCTGACAGGAAGGAGCCTGTCACTCAAGCTGCTCTCAGGGAAGCAAACCCACGGGCACCGGGCGAATCGTGACTTGGAGAGAAGCGAACATCGGAGCACCCGCCCATGGGGCCGCGGGCTGCGGGCAGCCAGCACCTAGGCCCGCACCTGGCACCGCAACGCACCTTGCGGACCACGGGGCTGCCGTCGTTGATCAGCTGGGCCAGCATCATGGCCACGTTGTGGTCGATGGTGGTGGAGTGGTCGGTCCTCTCCGCGGAGTTGCCCACGAACGTGCCGAGGGCGAAGACCGCCGCGCAGCGCACCTGCGGACGGACGCACGGCATCACGGCCCCGCACGCACGCGCAATCCCCCTCACGGACGGAGCGGAAATGGGAGCCGGGCGTCTCGTGGCCCTGGCTTGAGGGGCTGGTGACAGGTTGCACAGGTGGGAACTTCTGGAGTCAGAGACCAAGCCAGGTACCCCGCCCTCCATCAGGGAGTGGGACGGGATCAGGGGGGTCAGGGGACGAGGGCTGGGCCGGGACAGGCTGTGGGAGACGGTGGTCAGTGGGAGCGAGGCGGCGGTCGGCAGCGCCGCGCTCGGCCGGAAGTCACCAGGGTGGACCGACTCACCTCGGGAATGGGGTCTGAGAGGAGGCTGCAGAGCTTCTCGTGAGCGCTGTCCCTCACCCCACACCACCGGGCCGGGTCAAAGTTCTGCCAGACCCGCCCCAAGCAGATGGCCACCCACTGGCGCAGCAAGGGGTGGGGGTCGCTGAGCTGCTCCAGGCAGATGGCAATCAGGTTCCCCTGGAGGCAGGCTTCCTGGAGAGGGCAGAGGGCACACGGTGGACGGTGGACAATGGACTGCCCGCGGCCAGGGCGTGGGGAGCGGTGCGGGCTGGGCTCCCGACGATGCTCCACGTCTTAAGTCCCACCAACTTCTATTCACCCTGCGCCCGGCTGGCTCGGCACAGGTGCAGGCCCCCTCCTCCCGCGGCCTTCCCCCGGCACTGGCGTGCTCTGGTTGCCCTCCCTCTACGGAGGACTGTTTCTTTAGACGTTCGGAGCAGCAGTGCCCCGGCCCCCACGTGCGCGGCCTGAGCCGTACCTCTGCAAGGGCACAGGGTGGCTGACACTCACCTGCCCTGTGTTGTAGTTGTTGACGATCACGGCCAAGATGAACGCCGTCATGGTCCTGTGCTCAGCCTGGAAAACAGATGTCACCCCCCCGTCTCGCACTTTCCCACGGAGCTCGAGGTCCCCAAGCACAACAGGGACACCCCCTCCCAATGCACGTGACCAGAATTATAGTGATGGCCAGCTCCTGTCTCGGAGAGGGTGTGACAGCTCTGGCTGGTCCCTTGGGGGACAGACGGTCCGACTAGACTACCGACACTAGGGGACGGGACAGGGCTGCGTGCGCCGTCACAGGCTGTGCTGTTCCCGGTCGCCCCGGTCAAGCGCGAGGCGGTAACACGCAGGGACCCAGCGCCCCCTTGCCTGCTGCTTCCTTTTCTCCGGTCGTCTTTGGGAGGGATGAGGTTCGTTCCCTCCTCCCCGTCCTCCACGGGTTTGTGAGCCCGTCGGTCTGCTCCCACTGCTTGGTGCCTGGCATTTTCCGCACGCACACTGAGCAAAGTCTGGGCTGAGCTCTCTGTGCGTCTCCCTCTGCCTGGACTGATGCAGGCCGATGGCACCCTGACTCCACCACCCCTCCTGGCATCGTGACCCCTCCAGCTGGCGACGGTTACTCTCGTGCTGAAGGCCAACGCTTACTGAGCTGCGCCCGCGTGCGGCTCTCCCCCTGGGTTCCCCGTCCTCTGGAGCAGCGGGGGCGGCCACGGAGCTGCCCGTCTCCGGAGACATGCGGGCTCCACCCTCGTTGTCGTGGCAGCTACGCTGGGCGGAGAACCCTGGGGTGACGGGCAGCGCCCTGTGCCTGGTCGCTGCTGCCGGCGGGGTCCCCTTTCCGCCTCTGCAGATTCCCCCTCCCGATTCCGTCGCTTCTGCACTTGACCGTCCCTGCTTTGGCCGTGGGGACTCCGTGCGATTCTGTCGCTTCTGCACTTGACCGTCCCTGCTTTGGCTGTGGGGACTCCGTGCGATTCTGTCGCTTCTGCACTTGACCGTCCCTGCTTTGGCCGTGGGGACTCCGTGCGATTCCCTCGCTTCTGCACTTGACCGTCCCTGCTTTGGCCGTGGGGACTCCGTGTGTGGATTCGAGCTTCGTTGTCCTTTTTAGATCTGAAAACTCATTTCTGCAGATGCGGGGAGTTCTCAGCCACAACTGGTCCGGATGCTGCTTCCCCCGACCCCCGTCTCTCAGTGACCTTTCACCGCTCCAGGCGACTCCTCCTCGATCCTCTCACCGGCGGGGTCCGTCCTGCCGAAGTCACGTACGGAGGCTTTGGTGATGGTGCCGGCCCCCCTGCCGAGCTGCTCAGAGAGCCCGCTGACGTGGAGGACGAGAAAACGTCATCCACTCGTTTTAAACGCACGTTCACACTGGCGCTGGTCCTTTTCAGGTAAGCCTGCTAGCTTTAGTCTGGGGGTGCCGGCTCTCTTCGGGGCTGGTCCCCTGGCTGCGGATCGGCAGCAGGCAGCGTTCCCGGCGTGTCTCGTGGGTCCGGCATGGACCTGTCCCTGAAGGTTGGCCTTGCCTGGGCTTCTTTCAGGCCCCAGGTGCTTCGCGTCCAGTTCTCGGCCGCTGGCGCGCACCCATCTGGGCGCGGATGCTGAGGCTGCAGTGGCCCCGGGGCTTGTCTGACATGTGGGACGAGGGGCTTTGCCCACTCTGCTCAGCGAGGGGCGCAGGCCTCATGGGCTTCTGGCTTTATGCGGGGCACCGGTCTCCGAGAGGGCCCCAGCTCAGGCCCGTGCCCGTGGGCAGGCCGCGGTCCGCGTGCTGTGGGGCCCCAGGGCCTCCGTGGCATCCTGGCTGCTCCCCGCCGTGGCTGCTCTCTGGCCCTGCCGGGTTCGGCGTTTGGGGGTGTCCTTCCCTTTCTTTCCCATCTGGCGCTGTCCTCAAGCTCCAGTGTCTGCAGGTGACGAGGGGCGCGGTGCCTCACCGTGTTTCAGCACTGAGCGTTCCTCCCGTTCACTTGTCTTCCCGCTCACCCTGAGCAACGGGGAGCGATTGTTTCCAGAACTCAGCGCATGACTTTAACTGCCTCTGACGGTGTTTAAATGCTGCACTTAGGTTAAAGCACAAGGATTATCTACCTTCCTGTGTTTCGAAAAATCTTCATTTATTTTGGAAAACCAAAGAGAGGGTTAAATGACGTCCCTTATACACCGGGAGCCGCCTGAGACCGCAGAGGGGCTGCTACGCTGCCTTAGGCCAAGGTCGCCGACCCCGTTCTCTCTACTCCGCTGGGCGCTGGGGGGACGGGACGGAGACGTTAACTCTCAAACGTTTACACGAGTCACTGTACGTACTATTCGTGGATTACTACTTTCTGAAGCAATTTACTATATTTAAAGTGGAAACTTTCAGGCGCTTCCTTCCTTCCCTCCCCCCTTCCTGATTCCCATGGCACGTCAGCCCGTCACCTTCCTGCCTCTCCACTGGCCACAGAGCGTCACGTCACAGGTGTACAGCGCCTACTAATACGACCAGCTGACAGGATGTGGGGGCGAGCGGGTTCTACCACGATGCAGATGTGCCAGGGCAAAGGACCGACGTAAACCAAACCGACGGCACATCACGGCCGGCAACTTCCCGCTCAGACAGGGAAGAGCTGCCGGGGCCACGTGCTGCGTGAAGAGTGCTGTCTGCGGGGGGCGGGGGGGCGGGTGGCAGCTGAACGTGTAAACGTGGCCCCCGGAGCACGGCCCACCCGCGTCGTGGCCTCTGCCTGGGTGGGGGCTGGCGAGGAGCACCCCTCTCCAGAGCCCTCATACGTGTCACGACAGCGTGACGTGTGAGCAGAGGGAGACATGACGGATCTCGAGACCGTCCGGGAGAGAACGGCGCTTGGTCCTTACGGGCATGTAGGGGTCTGCCAAGACCGAAAGGAAGTACTTGTGACCGTTGTCCTTCACCAGGTCAGCTTGGCACGACTGGGGAGAGAAGAGACACAGGGAGACAGTCAGTGCGGCGTCGGGAAGGGGCTTCGCTGTGCTCCCGGCGCGTACGAACCAATGAGCGTGCAAGGGATGTTTTATGCCTTCATCATTTTCTCCTCTCAAGTCCAATTTCATTTGAAAAAAGAGAATGGTCGCTCGTTTCCCTTGGCTGTGAGAAAAGGCTGGGTGGGGCACCCGGGCCACTGCACCAGCTCCCTTGGAGGGCCCCTTCGTCCCTGCAGCCCTGCCCAAGTCCCCTGTCATCCGGGGGCCCACGCGTTTGCCTCTTGCCTTCTGAGCTAGACACACTCGACACTTGCAACCACCCCTGGTTCCCGCAGAGCCAGCCCCATGGAAACTCCTAGGGTCTCGCTGGGCTGGACTTCCAAAAAACCAAAACACCACAGCCTGTGTGACTCACAGATGATGCACGTCACACAGCTCGTTCTACCAGCTGCTTCCCAGAGGCCCAAGTCCCTGCCCCAGAGGAGAGCTAGCTCTGAGGCGGGGACTTGAGTCTCAGTGGTGTGGAGCTGAGGGGCGTGCTTCCTTTGGCTGCTCGGCCCCAGCACCTCTGAGCACCGGTGGTGTGTTCATCGCTCAGCACGTTTCGAGGACCCGCCAGGTGCCAGGCCTGACTCGGGCCCGGGGACAGCGACATAAGCTGTGGCCTACTCGGGCCCAGGAGGGCACAACTCAGCATCACAGCACATGGCGAACAGGCACCGGGATTGGGGGGCTTGGAGAGAAGGGGGCATGTGCTTCTGGAGATGCCCAAGGAGGGGAGCGGCTGGGATCCCCACGGGGGACGGCCGGGCAGCTGGGGACAGGTGGGAGGCGAGGGCCAGCGCAGGCAGGGGACTGGGCTCTGATGTCCAGCATGGAGGCCCTGAAGGGCTGCATGGACTGCACCGGAACCAGGAGGGTGGGGCATGGGGGGCGTGAGCGGGAGGGCTGGGCAGAGGAGGCAGCGTGCTGGTTCACCGTTTCTCCAGGGCCACAGAGGGTGAGGGGTTTAATTCAGGGTGCACTATGTTAGCTCGCAGGAGGGAGGTGGGGGCATGGTGTGACATGCAGGGAATGAGGCAGGCCTGCCTCTAGCCTGGAAGTTACACGTGAATGGGTGGGAACCCAAGGCCACAGGGTGCTCTAGAGCTCGGGGGGCAGGCCCTGGGGACAGAGGCAGGCACCCAGGAAGGAGGCTGACAGGCATCCGAAGCAGTGGAGTCGGGAGGCTTGGGGGAAAGGGCCTGCTGGGGGCGGGGACCACGGAGCCCTGATTTGACACGGCTGGCCGGCTGGGGGATTTCTGCAGTTGCTGGTTCTAGGGACGTGAGTGATTCTGCCTGGGCAGTCATGGCCAGGGAGGTTTCAGGCACACGTGCTGAGGGACAGGTCTCTGTCTGGCCGGAGAAGACATGGAACACCAGCATTGACTAGGCCGCATGCCTAGGCTCCCTCCGGCCAGCGGGGACCCCAGGAGACTTTAAGGAATCTGTGCTCGACAAGTGGATTCAAAGGCCAGATCCATGTCAGAGCGACTTGCAAATTAGGGCATGACACACAAATCACAGACACCCTTATTCCTTGGCCCACAGGTGTGGGCAGGAGCTCACTGGGCTCCGTAGGGCCACAGCCAACAAACGGATTAGCAACACTCGGGGGAACGAGGCCACAGGTGGATGTCGAGTCCAGTAGTGGCCGGCACGCTCCATGCCCGAGGACGGGGCCATCAGAGCAGCGGCGAGGCTCAGCACCTTCAGAGCCGAATTTCAGAGAATCCAAGGGGAAAGGGGACGCGCTGTGACAGGCTCCCAGAGGCCCCGCTGGCGTGGGCCACCTCTACCGCGAAGCCGTCTCACGGGACGAGGTCCCTGCGGCCCGGAGCCCCGCGCCCCTCCCGCCTGGCCCGTGTCTGAGGGGCTCAATGCTGAGCTATCCTCCTCACGTCAATAAGCCGACAGGAGCTCAGCTCTCGGGTGGGAATCAGCAGGATGGAGGGCGGAGGTCGGATGTCGGGAACTGTGGGCTCCAGGGGCTGGGTCAGTGAGGAAGCCCGGCCTGTGTGCAGGTGCTGCTGGTGCCCCTGGGTTCTGGCTTCGAGTGAGGGCTGTGCCCTAAAAACCAGAAGGGGCCAGCGTGGTACCCACAGCACAGCCCAGGCTGGGACGACAGCCGGCCCCGACTCAACACCAAGGCCCCGTCTGTCTTCAAGCCCGAGGTGCAACAGGTCAGACCAAGGCCTGCAGGCCCCGGGGAGCTCCCCGCACGCTTGCAGGGGAGCGCTCGCAGCCTGTGACCGAGCCTGATGGGGCGCGGGTGTCAGGGCCCCCAAAACCCAGCCATCTACATGCTGCCCGCTCATCAAAGCTGCTTTGACGAGTGTGTCAGGCGCAGGTGACCACTGACCACGTGTCTTTTCACATGTCTAGTTCAATTGCAATCCTGAGCCCGCGGCACTTGACCATAGGGTGAGCACTGCTCAGACGGCAACCCGCCCCCGTCCACGCCCGCACGCGCCTGCGCCCCGGCTCGGGCGACCGCCTCGTTCCATGGAACGGCAAGAAGGCTGAGTGCGAAGGCGGCACAGAGGCGGGCAGGCGGGCTGTGTGGCAGAGCCCGCAGAGGCAGCGGGCTCCCAGCCGCTCCAGGGCCCCCTTCCTCCCCCCGGTCAAGCCACCGGTGTGACACGTTCGGGCCACAGGCACAGGAGGGTGGAGCAGAGGGAGAGCCTGACGATGCGGCCTCAGGTCAGACGCTCGTTCCCGAGGGGAAAATCGCCGCGTCCATGAGCTCCCACCCCTTCGCTCTACCTCTCCGCACACGGCAGGGTTTTCTTCGGCCCCGGCCCCGGCCCCTCCCCCACCACGCAGCCGCCTGCTCCTTCCAACGCTTTGTGTGAACAGAGACTGTGACCATACAGACCGAGGCACCCTGTCCTTCGACGAACGTGCAGCACCCACTTTTCTCCACCTTGGGGTATGCTGCCCATCGGCCTGGGGAGGGCTTCGTGGGGCCAGCCTGGGACCACTGCACTGTCCCGTGCAAACGAGCTTCTGTGACTGTGAACGACGCAGCCAGAAGTAAGATGCTGCTGCACGTGTGAGCAGGTCCAGCTGCGAGTCCCCAGCCGCGGCGCTGCCGGACGGGGGATAAACGCGTCTGTGGTTTTGCTAGACGTCACCGCACTGTACCTTCGCCGCACAGCGTGCTGCTCAGTGTGAGGATTTCTGCCAGTCTGAGAAGCGAAAAGTGGCATCTCGGTGTCTCTTACTGTGCACTTGTGAAGAGACGGAGCATTTCGTTCGCATCTCTCTGAGCCGCCGGTCGCGTCCTGTGGCCACTGCTCTGCTGGACGGCTGGAGCTGTCCTTCTCCAGGAGCTGCGTGTCAGGGAGGCCGGCCTTCCCCCCGCGGCAGGAGTTTAAATCCCACCCCCGCCAGATCCTCCTTCTAAAACTCTGCTCATGGTACTTATAAAATTTAGAATGCTGAATTTTGCATTTTCACACAATCAAGCTTGCTAATTTTCTGGACGCCTGGATCTGGAGCCGGAGCTGCAGAGGCTTCCGTCACTGAGGCTGAAGCGGAGTGGGCCTGGTCCCCCCCTAGCGTTTTTGTGGCTTCGTCCTATGTAACCACCTCTCTCTGAAGGTTGGGGGCGTGCAGGGAGACACCCTGCTATCTTAGCGCCGGAAATTCGGGGGCCCACGGACCAAACCGCACACGAAGCCCCGTGAGCCGCGGGGGGCCTGTCGGCAGCCCGGGCCACAAGGCCTTTCCTGGCGGCGTCACGGTTCGTTTTAACGGCTGGCAGGATGACGCCCCCCGCCCTCCCTCTCCAGGATTTCCCCTGGATGCTCTTTATTTTTCCTGGGAAGTTTAGAACATGCTTGTCGAGTTTTGGGGTTCATGAACAGAAAGCTCGCGGCATCTAACTGGGCTTGCCCTGTGGTTTAAACGGCCGCGGAGAACGCCGACATGTTTGTGTCCGTCGCTCCCGTTCCCGTCGCCGGACAGGGCGTGTCGTCCGAGTTCCCCAGGAGCGCCTCCAAGTCGCCCCACACTCCCCTCGTGTGCCAGGCCGCGTCTGCTCGACCCAGGCCTCCCTTGCGGACGGAGCATCATCCCCTCGCCGGCTTGTCTTGGTCTGACTCCTGGGCTGACGGCCCCCACGGGCTGACTCCTGCCCTGAGCAGATGTACGGTTTCACTTCTAACTCAGTGTTCACGCTCTTCATTTCCTTCTCTTGCCTAATTGGTGGTGGCATCCTGGCTTTTGGGCGGACAGGAAGATATTTCAAACGTTTGAGAAGCAGTTACTGATGCCTGTTTTATTGAGTGTTTTTCTTTCTCTAAGAGAAGATCAATGTTAGCCGTCTTCTCCTTAACACATCATCTCAATAGTTTTCCTCACAGTGAACGGGCCTCATGCCCCGGGGAGAACCCCCACGTGGCCACGGTGTGTTATCCTCTCGCTGCTCTGCTGGGCTGCAAATTCTCGGCCCACCTGACCACACTCAGGTCTTGGTGACGGGTCGTGGCTGGAGGGCGGAGGCCAACCCCGCTCGCTTGTGTGTGCGGGAGGAAGTGGGGACAGCGAGACCTGGAGAGGACAGGCCAGCACTGCCGGGGCGGGTGAGCGGTGAGGCCGCTGCAGGGAGGCAGGACAAACGCCGAGGCCGAGGGCGGGCCAGCGGGCGGCTCTCCCCAAGCGCGAAGGACGCAGCTCCCGTCCAGCAAGCAGTCCTGTCACCCGCGTTTTGCTTCTCCATTCTGTTTTTCACTGGCTGCTTTCGAGTTTTAGAATTTATTATCGTTTGTTACGTGACTGGGTCCCAATGTGTGCTTGGCGGTTTGCTTCGTGCGGCTCGTGCCTGGCGTTTGTGGGTGTCTTTGGTCTGGGGGTCTACCGTTTCCATCAAATGTGGAAATGTTCCAGCCATCGTTTCTTCAAATACCCCTTTCCGCCAGCCCCCTGTAGGGGCTCCAGGTC